ACATGGTTTATTAACGATTGTTATTATAATTGTTAATATAATTGTTATTATCAGATTTCATGGACAAGAAGGATTCAGTGATTATGATAGAGAAAATAAAAATTCTAATTTTTAATTATCATCAATCGATTGTACTCGAAAATTCAGTCATTATTCCTCCGCCTTCTAAATTAAAATCAGAAATTGTGTCGAGTGTGTTGAAATAAATTCAATCAATTGCGGTTCTATTTTTGATGAAATCAATCCCGGAACTATCAGCTGAGTAATTGCTTGACGGGTCATACTCTATGACATACACTCGTGCAACCCAAAATCCAATTAACGATCCGTGGGTCAATTATTTGGAATCGATGGGAATAAAATGTCACGCAAACCCAAACAACGAAAACACACGTAATTAATCACATTCGTAATTTTCCCTCGAATTCACAATATCGCAGTACAAAATAAATAATACGTCACAACCATAAAAAATTAGAATTGACAATTCGGATTTTTAACCATAAAATTTTAATTCCAATAAATCAGTCCTTTTTTTATTAAACAAAACGTTTGATTAATTAATTAATTCTTATATTAAATAACGCTCATTTGATTGTTGATTCAATAATTAATTAATTTGGGTTTAAAATATTGGCGAAAAATATAAAAATGTTATTTTCAGTAAATATTCTGTAATGAGAATAATATTTTTTTTCTGATTATTAAAAATTATTATTATAGAAGTACTGGAAGCATTTAATCAGTGCGGATAATAGCAGAATGAGAAGGGGAGTTATTAAATCCATCGGAATTGCCGCGGAAGGGAAAAAATTGAAGCGGTGAAATTAACGACTACTTTACTACTTTATACTAGGTCAGTGGGTGACGAAGGCATTCTGGCAGAGACTGCGGTTATTATCGGAGTTGATTTCGATGAAACTTATCCACTTCGTTACAAAATAAGAACCCGAGGAATAGATTTCCCTATCCACTCCGTTCTCCGGAAATATCCGACTTCATATTTAAAAATCATAAATGAATTTTCATTAACTCGAGAAATTCTGGAAAAATTATGGAATACTTTCTATTTCACTGTCCATAGGAGAAAGAATCCCTTTAATAAATAATAATTAACGAGGGAATAATGTAATTTTGGAAAATTGAGTTGATTGTGATTGATAAAATTAATTCAATAGATCATCCGATGTGATTTGATCGAGAAAATCGGGTTGAGAGAAGAGAAATTCATTACGACTAGTAATTTTCCTACGAGTGTAAATGACAAAGTGAAAACATGCCGATGATATTACAGACGAGAAGTGAAACTGACGATGTGACAATGAAATTACCGAGGTTAACCACAAATTTTCATTGAAAATTTTTCATCCCTATTTTTTAATTCCTAATTACTATTAATTTTTTTTCTTTCCACAATTCTATGATTACGATCAAAAACATAACACATTAATTAAACAACATATAATATAAATAATAACAAATAAATAAACAAAATGGTTGAATTGACGTAAAAAGGGGAAATGAATAATACAATGATTTTTTTTTTTAATTTGAAATACCTGAGAGGACGTAATTTGCAATTCGAGGCCAGGGATTGAATCCGTCAACTTTCCCACGAATATCATGAACCGAGGATCACAAGTAATTCACCAGAGTCAATTGAAATTCCCAAGAAAGCTCATTAATTATTCCACAGCCTGAAGTACTTGCACCAGAGCGTGCGTCACCCTCCGCTGCTCCAAATCATCTCATTTCCAACACAAAGATATATAACAATGGTACGTATGACTCATGGAGAAGTACTCGTGCAAAACTACTCGATTTTTGTCACACTCTGTTTACCTCGATCATCATTACCAATTTCTTTTTCATGTTGCGCAATCGGACAATGCACTGTCACGTATGACTCCTGAGACTTTCCACTCTCATTACTCTTTAAATTGGTCATTAGACCACAAGTCATTGCGATGGCTTCCGTGTTTTTTTAAATAATCAATATATTCATGAAGAATTTCCACATTTCGCCTAATAAATTCCCACAACAAATCAATAATCATATTTTCCTTATCCTAATTTTAATCACGAGGAAAATTGAATTTTATTGTAATAGATTATAATTATAACAATTTTTTGAGACTGATCCATAAAAATTATTCCCTAAATATTAAATTGCAACATAAAAACGGGGAGTACTCTGAATTTTAATAGCGGAATGGAATTGGAGAAATAATGGCAAAGTGTTTGTGGATGTTTAGTAGTCCGTCGCCTCTCAGGATTTTCTTCAGGAACATAAAAGAGGACCTGCCAGATCCCCAGGGTGGAGGAATGGCAAAGTAGCTGGGGTACACTCCCTGTTATCGCTTCGAGGAATCGTCAAAGACGAGAACTGAATGACGAAAAAAAAGAGGAAGAGTAGACGAGAACTCTTTATCAGGGTAGTCTATTTCTTCTCAATTGTCCACCTGAAATCACCGAGACTGGAATTCTCTTGTTATTTCTACCACACCTCGACAGTAGACGCCCACACGGACATTCCGCGGTGGACATTTCTCCATCCGAAGATATAAAAGTCCTTATCCTGCAGCAGAAAAACAGATAGCCGATTAATTATTGTCTTCCGGGTGAAGGAGTATGGATCTGTGCCTCGTCCTTGGGCTGAAGGACTTTATATCGAGAGAAATTTATCGGGATTCCAGGAGGATTTGTCACGGCCGCAGGAAAAATGATTTTCTCTTCAAAGAAAATTGGCAAAAATAGGAAAATGTTCCGTGATTATTTCCATTTGTTCAAGTGATCGAATTTTGGTATTGTGGAGTTTTGGAATTGGAAAGTGTTGGAAAGGATTAATGGGTCAGTGGTTTTCATCATGAAAATCGGTGTTCGGTCCAGGAGTTGGTGGCAGCGATTGGACAAAGTGCGTAAACTCACGCCTGAAAATCTCGTAAGCGAAAGTAGTGAAAGCGCAAACCGATCTGGAAGGTACCGAGACAAGGCCGATGTGTACTAGGCCCCGGAGATCACATCTCGAACTGGGAAACAAGGCCAATGCACACGCCATGATAAATTCCAACAAAAAATCATTTTGCCCACAAAATTTTTGCGAAAATTCAAAATCTTCCCACCACAAAATAACCAACACCAAGAAATTATCTCGTAATTTCTAAAACTTCAATTAAAAACAGTCATTATTATCACAATAATTGTCATCGAATTTGTTAAAGTGTTATAATTGTTGATAAATAATTATGAATTAATTTTTATGAATTAATTTCGTCTGATTTGAATAGAATGATTTAATTAAATTCGCCAGTTCGAGTCGACAAGGCGATCTTAAATATAATATTTCAAAAATTTCAAAATTTTCGAGAGAAAAATGGCGGCAATGCCTTCTATCGCTCACACATCGAGAGCTCGAAGTACTCCTGGATTTACGCAATATTCATTAGCATGAGAGATTACAAACCCGGTGAAATGTCTTCCTCTCGGGTTTTCCTCAAATGGGTAATCTCTGTGTCGTGCAATGACGGAATACCTGAGCATTGGTACACGACTCCATTGTCCCCCGATTCGTGGGTCGAAATGACTTCACTAATCGATAGCCATATTGTTCGAGTTGTTCAGAATCACCGTAAATTACAAACCGTGAATTTTTCCCCACCTGACCTTTTTTCAAATGTCAAATTTCTAATCTACCGTTTGAAAAGAATTTCAAAATCACGATTCAACATCGAACAAAATCGATTGGTAGAGTCGATGAAAGCATCTGGTGACTTCGATGACTATTAGATACAGGAGACATCGGAATGCAATCGCGTCGGTTGGCATTTGACGAGGCTGTCGGCTTTCATTATTTATTTTCTTTTTTTTTTTATCATTCTCTTCGGCATTTTTTTTCTCCTACTCTCCTTCACCTCCGCGATGTTGCTTGTTACGAGGCGGGAAAATAACGGGATTTTGTCGATTCACTCAACCACTCATCGATTATTAGCAATTTTCTTTGTTTCTCCTTCTATTCACTACCTGTCATAAATTTTCACGATTAACAATTATTCTCACTCATCGCGACTCTTCCACTAATTGAAAAAACTCGATATGGTAAGTGGTCGATTTGTTATTTAAACGAGCAGGGAAAAAGTTTCTCCATCCTAGAAAATAAATTTTTAGATCCCAGAAATTTATATTTTTTTTTATCATTGTGATAAAAATAATTACTACAAAACAGAAGGTAAAAAAAAACAATGAACATAATAATAATTATGATAATAATAATAATAACAATAATAAATTCCTAGATTTCCGATATTTTTTTTTCTTTGGATGATTTTATGAAATGAAAATGATAAAAATACTGCGGATTAATGAAAAATATAAATAAAATATCGAGAATTTTGAGGAAATATCTATTTTTATGGTGATTAATCTGTTGGCAATATTCCACGGTTAAACAAATATATTCTCCAGGTGGAAAGGCTTTCTTCAAGTCGCCACATAATTTCCTCCACAAAGCCTCTCACCAATAAAACCGGAAGTACATCGTAAATAATGATTCCTGCACTGCATTTAAGATGTGCTCATCGGAATTCCTCACCTCGGGCTGATTCAGCCAGCAAGATACCCCAAGGTGTAACCCCATTTCAGCTATGACCTGGAGATACTCGAGAACTTGGTGAAAACTCTCATCCTTCCGCGAAGAGGGGGATAAAAAAATTTCAATTAATAACTTTCAAACAATTCCCGTATTTGCACTCAACTCCACGACGGAAATGCTGTTGAAATTTTTTTCTCACTGCCGTCAATATCACCAGAGATGTCTGACCTCGGGGTGCGGATTGACCTCCACATCGTTCCCCCCGGAGTTTATTTCAACCTTGATCTTAATTCCACGCCCTAAAAAGGATACCCACCCTCATTATCCACCCGATCATCCAGTTTTTCAGCTCGTGAAGGTCTTCGCTGATTGAAAAAAAAAAATAAACAACAAACACCACAGAATTTTTATAATTTTCAACCATTTTTATTAAAGAATTCGCCTCTTAAAGTCATAATGTTGAAACAAATAAGAATATCACTTAGTTTTTTTCGTCAAAATATACATACATACAATCATGTACCATATATATTCATACATTTTATTGCGATATTAAGAATTCTCGACAGAGAATGCATTATTAATCGCACGAAGTTTTGGCGGATTGCTAGTTAAAGGAACGAGGAAAGAGAGAAAGATGAGAGGCTGGAGCGTGAAAATAAAAATATGGAGAAACGAAGAGAGTAGAATTAGAAAAGGGCATTGAGAATGTAAAGGAGTACGAGGAAAAAACAGTAGGGAAAATAAAATCGCGTCTATATTACACGTGGAATTTTGCTCGCCGTCTCGTCCGCCTTGTCGAGTGCAACGAGCAAAGAAACGTAATAAACAGTTACGACTCTCACTCTCGAAATCATTAAACTCTTGCGATGTTAGCCCGAAGTGCGCGAGGATATTAAAAAGAGAATAAAAGAAGAAGAGAGAGAGACAGATCTATAGAAATGATACAGACTGGAATTATTCTCGAGCACTGGTGATTTTCGTGAGTCAACTCAACTGTTCACAATTGTAAATATAAAAAATGATGGTCAACAGCCTAGAAGAAGCCATCGCCGGTGGGATCATTGAGCCATGGGTAATTGTTGGGACACCTGACGCACGTCTGGAGATTGAGAGTCTCACCAGGTACTTCTTTGGCTGTTAATTTGCAGGTGTGGGGTACCCAACAGGCTGGTGGTCCCTCAACGCTGCACTTCTCCCTCCAGGCCTCGAAGTTCTTCGATTCGGATGATGTCCTTGGATTTTGAATCCACTGAATGACCTGGGTCATCGTGACGAAGTACACGTCGTTGTGATTGGTGAGGACCTCGTCGATCCAGAAGAGGAAGGCATCCAGAAACTCGGGATTGTTCTTCAGCCAGGCAGCGTGGAAGTACAGACCCAGTGGTGCACGATTTTGATCGTAATGCCTGTCGAAGTTGTGATTAAGGAAATTGTAGAATTGATCACCGGTGAGGATGTTGCTGCAGGAGTCAACCATGGCACACCCTGGCAGGTACTCGTCGTTAACTGGATCCTCTCTTCTGTCTAGCTCATTCATCACCATCTCCCAGACAGCGTGAGACCTTTTAACCGGGGGGTAAAAAGAAATTTGCAATCGTTAAAAGCTGCCATAAAAGAGGCGCTTGAGGAACTCACCTGGTTGGACAGTGCTGGAGATTTCCGTGGCATCGGTGGGGCATCCTGAAGTACATGGTGTAAGGCCACAGCGGTGGATTGTTCAGAGCAGCTGTTATGGTTGAGTCGTACAAGAACGCTTGCTCCTCCATCATCGTGAACTGGTTGTTTCCACCGACCCTGAGGTATGGCGCACGAACTCCAACAACACTGTTGTCAGTCAAATTAGCGTACTTCTCAGCGATGATCCTCATACCCGCCATCTCCTTTGCCCAGTCATCGACCGTTGCATTCGACCAGAATCTCTCATCATCGTTGTGCCTGAGAACGAAATTATTGAGTCACCCCATTCCGAGTTGCCCCTCCCACGTGTCCTAATTGTGAAATTAATTATGAACACATCGACTTACGAGATGGAATGAACAGCAATTTCGTGTCCCTTCCTGTGCATCTCCTGAACAGCTGAGTAATTAGTGTACTTGTGGGAAACGAAGAAAGTCGCTTTGATGTCACAGCCATTGGGATTCTTCCTCTTTCCATTGAAAATCTCCTTGTAGAGTCCGATATTGTTGTTGTTGATGGCATCGTCGAAGGTGATGGTGATCATCTGTGGGACGTCCTTGTAGGGGATATCACCGGGAATGGTGGTGCCATCCTCGGAGCAGAAGCAGTCCGGCAGAACGCAGACCGAGGGATCGCAGGGTGGCGCCCGATTGGGATCATTGTCCATATCTGAAATAAAATCCAACTGTTGATCCTGTACGAGGATTGATGACCACAATGACCTAAGAACCCGATGAAATCAACCTACCGCAGACATTCTCGTCAGAACCATCCAGACAATCAGCTTCGCCGTTGCAGAAGAGTCCCCGCTCTATGCAGGTGCCATCACCACAGGCTAAAGAACCATCCGAACATAGAGGCTCTTCTGTAAACAGCATGGGCTTGGCCTTCCTCTCTTTATTCTTTGTCTTGCAGTTATTGACAGCTGCCTTCCAGTCGCACGTCTGCTTGTCAATGTCAAAGTACAATCCAGCTGGACACCTGATTGCCTGAAGTCCCGAGCTCGTACACTGAATGACATCACGACAGTTGTCACCCTCACCAGCTACAAGTCGAAACCACTCGCCAGCGTCCTTGTCCTTGCATATCTCATTCTCAAAGCTCTCGTCCTTCTTCGGCTCGTCCTGACGCTTCACCCTGACCGACGACGCACCATCTACAAAAATTACCACTCTCTGATTGAAGTTGATTTATTGTTGATGAACTTCTTTACAAGACTAGCCCAGCCACGGGGAAAGTTATCCCTCCCACCCCGGGCTGGGGCACGCCAGTGACGTCAGACGAGACAGGAAAGAGACCCTGGGGGCTTTCACGTTCTAATCTATTATGCAACTGTTGTCTCGCTGTTCCCCACCCTCTGACAAACCGAATCATCGGTGATTAAATCTGAACAGTAGCTTGTATCCAAACTACGCTGATTGGAAAGCATATTTATCCATTATTTCGCGTTAAAGAAATCGAGAGTCCATTGAAAACAGAAACAGGTTTTCGCTTCTCCTTCTACCGTCCATGGAATTTACATATTGACTGGTACGATCAGAGAAATTGAGCATAAATTATTGAAAAACCGGGAAGGTGCCTTTCTCCAACACTAAGTAACTCGTTTATATTTTTTTCATCTCCTCTCTCCCCCGACCGGAGACATTATCAGTACGTGTCATAATGCGGATGGAATATTGAAATAACTTACGTGTGACAGCTACAGCTGCTGCAAGCAGTACCACCACCGAGGACCTCATTATCCCCCTTCAATTACAATATCACGTTACGGTAATTACCGATCAATTCTCACCCCTAATTGATCTCGGAGAGACACCAAACGAGTTCGTCGATTGATCGAGCTTTTATCCAATTCGAGTCCAAACTTGGAATTTGGACTCGGGATAATCGAGAAGATCGGTAGCACTTCCGGTCGATTTGCTAATCGAGGGTAATTGATTAAATTACTAATAACTAGGAATAAATAAGATTTGATTGTTGGATGACACTGGATGTGGGGTGCGGACCTTGGATCGTAGGTACCGCATACGAACTGGCTGAGGCCCGCCACTCACCGGGCCTTATATTGCCACCACCACCTTCTAGTCCCCCGACTTCTTGTATCCCCTCTCGATTTCGATTCCGCTGCGGGTTTTGTTTGATCGGTGCTAAAATCAAGTACTGGCGCATACTCCTGGTGATGGTTTTAGGTGTGACGTCTTCTCGTGATTTCTACATTGATTATTTGTTTGGTTTGAATCATTTGGGAATCGGCATGAGGCCCAATTCAATTTCGAGTTGATTCCATTCGAGGCGATTGATCGATGGACATCGGGGATCAGCGGCTACGTTTCCCCAGGACTGCTGGCCATCGTCTGAAGTCGCTCTCATCGGCCAAGTCTATCAGGCCCACACGATGTCACCGACGGGACCCCCTGCCGGTTCTTTCTTCAGATATCCTTCAATTTCTTTTTACCGATTTCAAATTGGTCTGGCCCATTCGTCGATTTTCAGGAATATTGGTCAGGATTTCCTCGGACGTTCGACCTTTTTCGCTCTGGAATCTGTTATTTAGATTCGAGGAACGTCCTGGTGATGATCTGGGATTTCATCGGGACAGCGGATTGATCCATCAATTTCGGGGACAGGCGGACCCGATTTTTCGGGGATTGTAGTTGAGAGACAATTGGGAGAGACAATCCCTCGTTTCACTTTGGTATCACGTTTCAGATTGTAAATAGTCATCTTCTTCTAAATGTCAAGACGACGGAGATGAAAACCAGTGGGAAGGGCTCCCTTGGCATTTTCGACCGTAACATGACCCGGACCGACGCAATTTTTATTGCGCAATTTCGGAATTGTTACCGCGTCATTCAATGCCGCAGAGATGTTCTCGGATTATTCTCCTTTTCGGTGGAAATTTCTGTTGGGAAATTGTCAGTTCAGTGTGACATTTAGAAATTTCAGTAAACTTCCGAGGAGATTGACGTCTCACTATTTTTTATCGCTCAATCAAATTTATTATCACTCTTTTGAAATTGAGTCGTCCAATTGTCCGGGGAATTTTGTAATAGGGGATTGAGAAAAAATTGACACTTTCGCGGGCTTTAACTCGAATTTGAGTCATCAAATCTAATGCCAGTGGTTTTACTTTCCATTTTCTTCGTGTGATTTGTTTTATTTATTAATAAATTCGGTTATTAGGAGGCAGTAATTATCGCGATTTTAATTTGAGATAAGGGACTATGATTAGCCCATCGATATCGCGTTCTCTACCCGCGATGCTAAATCTTTGGATCGAGAGACCATAAGCGACATCTCGCGAGAGATCGAATGATCGAGTGATCTCAGTGGTATCGACCAGGAAAATTCAATTGAAAATTACTCAATTACATTGAACCACTACTGGTAACTCCAGCAGAAATCGTTTATCAAAATTCCAATCGATTCATAAAAAAAAAATCGTTCCTCAAATTCCTACTATTTATTTATATTCATTTAATTATTTCAATATTATTTATCCACCCGATTCAATGAGTCCATTAATTCTCATTACCTCCTATCATTTTTTAAAAATCATCTCTCGTATCAGAATTTTTCAATTTATTTTCATTTATTTGCAAATTTTAATTGATTTATTCCAATTATGATCGATAATGAATCTGAATGTCTCAGAAAAAATCGGAGTCCTTGACAAATATCCCTTCATCCACCCGATTTTCATCGACAGACCCACATGTTGCATTCAACCCCCTACCCACCCCCTCGAACTTCATGAATCCCACCAGCTCCATTACCCTCGATTAAATCGTCGCGCATTTCCCGAAAATCCCCTTAGACTGCGCCATATCATACCGCATCCCCGGTAAAGCCCACATAACCGTTATTTCTTATTCTCCCCCAGCATTTTTTCCATTTCACTGCTGGTAATAAAAGTGGACGAGCAGTGGTTAAAATTTTCAGCTGAAATTTCGAGGATAAATTCTCATCGCAACAATCCGCGAAGTCCCTCCAACAGCGAAAAAAAAATTTTCAACACAACTCTCCCATTTTATTCTGCGACTCGAATTAATTCCGATAATTCACCGGTCCCCATAATTATTCAATCTCAATAAATGAATTAATTACATAATAATAACGTCATAATTAACGCGATTTTTTCACTCCTAATGAATAATACTCTTAAATTTCATTCCACCATAATTTTTCAATTTCTCCGAATTCATTAATAATTCACGTAATTAATCATTAACAATTTATTATTCAATACTTTTATCTTTTATTCAAATTTTTAGTCACTCAGAGTTTTATCTCCAGATCACATGATAAAAAAAATAGACATAACTATTTAATGGGAGCCTTGAGAGAGCACCTGCATCTCCCTCGATTTTTCCGTAGCCTCTGCAATATTGATAACGGTATTTCATCCATTGGATTGTTGGTGAGGGGGTGAGAGGGTGCGAGGGTGAGAGGGTGAGACAGCAGCTGCATCTGTTGCATCTGTTGCATCTGCGTGGCATCCGCTCGATAACGGATTATACCAGTCTACGTAAAATTCCACTCTGCAAAACGTGTTCTTTTCACTGTATTTTTTTTTTACTACCCTCCCTTCACCCCCATCAACCCCCGTGGAGGTGCATGTGGCTTCCGCGTTGTACACGCGATGCATTTTTAACGCTCCACCGAGACCTTGCGTCACGGAGAACTCTTGGTATTGTCCTACGTACTTCAACCCCTATCGCCCTGACGTTATCGGTTGCGTTTTATGGGCTGTTATTATTTGTGGTATTAATATATCGAGGGGGGTGGTTTTTTTATCGAGACTCTCCTATCTGCTCTTTTCGAATTCCCCAGGAGAATTCAACATCCACGAAAATATTTTACTATATTTATAATATTATCATTATTACATGTTAATTATAATTAATTATAAATGTAAATCGTCCCGGGTAATTGTTATCGGAATATTTTCTCCAAATTTTCAAAAAAAAGGGAAAATTTCCAGAAATTTTTTTTTTGAAACAAAAAAAATCGGGAGGCAAAGCAATTGTATTTTCGGGAAATGTTTTGAAAACTTTTTCAAAAATTTGGATCTGAAAATTGTTTTTTATCATTTTCTAGAAATTTTTGGGAATAAAAAAAAATTTTTAAAACCTTTTCCAAAAATATAATTGCTTTGTTTTCAGATTTTTTTTGGAAATTTTGGAAAAAATATTCCGATTACAATTTTTTTTATCGCGGGGTATTATTAGTATCTAGCAATTATTCGCGGTATTTGCATGTAATTTTTGTGGAAATGATTTGGTTGGACGTTTCGCTGTTTCAATTTAATTTCTCGCAGTATTTGAACTGCGAGACTTACTCACCGCTCATGAATAATTTCACGGCTCGAGTCTGAGTTACATCTCTCGATAAAACGATTAAAAGTTTCTCCTGGGATGGAATTTACCAGTAAAATGCCATCTCCATGCTTTTACGTCTGACGATTAAACATCTCTGGAGTCGCGAACGGTTTGCAGTACATGAGGAGCAGAATGAATATTCAGATGGAACACATACAGCCCTGGGCCCTCTTGTGCTTTATGTAGAAGTTGTTGGAATTACCAGAATAAATGGCGCATGTTTATTAACCATCATGGAAGTCTTTTTATTTCACTGCCAGTCGTTGTGACTCTGAAGAAAAATTTCATTTAAGCAAATCATAACGTCACGCATTCATCTTCTCAATTTTTTTTTACTCATCCTTTTTTATTTTCATTCTACAATTCCTGTAATTATTTACTAAAAATCATCGATCGGAATTGTTGATCAGGATTGGACAATTTTTGAAATATTCTGTCAATTTTTTATGGAGTCTCAGACGTAAGATGACAGACGACAAATGACACCTCTCGACAATTTGAGTGTTAAATTCCCAGGGGTTGTGTTACATGTGTTATCGATCTGGTGGATGCCAGGTAGACGTCTCAAATACCTCGACATTGAAATTTTATTTTCCCATCTTCACCCTCTTTTTTACCCACCCCCGTATCCTCATTTCGCACGATTGAGGCCGAATGCTGGAAAATTTAATGGCGAGAGAGGAAAAATCGATGGTAGTTTCACGTTTCCCGCTGCGTTGACGAGAAAAATAATAAATCGAATAATGAAAAGTCTCCTCCATTATTCCCTCAGTACCGAAAGCCCATTAACTCCCCAGATAATGTGCGGGAATTCTAATTAAAATGGGTGAATTCCTGTAAGACCAGAACATTATTAAAAAAATAATTCAGAACCTGTGACAAAAATTCCCAACAAATTATATATTCAATCAATCGATAATATTAATCGGTTATCAATAAATAATTATTGATTTATTCAACTTTTCCATAAATTTGATTATAATTACAATAATAATTTTATTATTATTCTTTATGGAAAACCAATTACAATATATTATCATATATATTTTTTATTATCAATGAATAATTATTGATTTACTGAACTTTTCCATAAATTTGATTATAATTACAATAATAATTTTATTATTATTCTTTATGGAAAATTAATTATAATCATATATATATTTCCGTTGAGAAAAGCATTCCTCTATTTTTCCTGAATATTCCTCTCGGCGTGAATCCGAGATTTTATTCACATAGATAATTATTTTTATCTCCAAGTGCACTGATCAGTGGTGATACGACGCAATGCACTCATCCCCTTGTGCACTGACCACAACGCGATAACGCGATAACATTATTGCAAAGTGTATGCATACGCCACCGCGAATTTTCGCCACCAACTAAAACTAGAGAGAGTACATATCCATGACCCCCTGCATACGTTACGAGTACATAATTTGATGTTGGAAACTCGGTGACTGAAGTTAATGTCAGATAGTGCCTTCTGGATAATTGAATAATCGCTCGGCATAATTCTACATAATCAATTATCGCGAATTATTTTTGCACGTCGAATGATTAATTATGGAGTCATCCACGGAGATAATTTGGGAATAAATACGCTGGAGTAATTGAATTTACTGAAATTTTTGTCGTGCGATTAATTAATTTGAAGATTGAAAAAAAATTATTAATTGCTCGTTCATTCGAGCGGCGAAAATAAATGCAGCACGTGTTGATTAAACCCATACAAAGTAATTGAAAATTGATTGACAGTTCCCCGCGAGCGTTCGATCGCGATTAATTTACGTTAACAAGTGACGTCCCGGCGGACTCCATTCCGATAGGACAGGATATCCGGACGTTATCGGCAACCTCGTGACAACCCTGGGGACCCTAGCGTCAATGACGGGTATATAATAAGAAAAGCACTAGCCACTCGATAGAGTTTACTGTGAAGATTCACGCATCATTGCGTCGGCCCTCGATTTTCTCCGATCTCAAAAGGAAAATTGAATTTTCCACGTAAATACCCGGGAAAAAAATTGTAATCGGAATATTTTTTCCAAATTTTCAAAAAATTTCTGGAATACTTTTCAGAAAATTTTGCTTTTGAAATAAAAGAAAAATTGGGAGACGAAACAATTGGATTTTTGGGAAATGGTTTGCAAAATTTCTAGAAATTTTGCGAATGTAATTTTTCCTTTTTTGATTTTTCAATATTCTCAAGAAAAAACGCCATCTAAATTATAATAAAAAAATCCTATTCAAATTTTTTGAAAATTTTTCAAAACCTTTCTGAAAAATAAAATTGTTTTGTTTTCCGATTTTTTTTTGTTTAATAAATTTTTTTTTACCCAGGGATATTGTGGGAAATTCGGAAAATCTGAATAAATATTTTTTTCCACTCGATTATTTAATCTTCGATAATTGTTCTGGATTCGATAAATTGATTATTTCGATGAATCGAAAAAAATTGTAAAATTGTGAAAAATTAATGAATTCGTGAAAAATTCACGGGATGATTAACGACTGGGTTTAAATGGGGAATTAAATTGGAAAAGATGGTAAGCTCGAGTGTTTCTATTCTTAGTTCGTCCATTAGGTCCGATCAGGTCCCCGTGGTCAAGGCCACGGCACCGAGAAGTCCCTGACGAAGCCATCACGACACGTCCCGATCGATTCCAGGATCACTCCTGCTCCCGATGTATTTCCCTGCGACGACCTCCACCGGGAGGTAAAAATTGCTCCACCAGGAGAGCGGCATTGGCCGAGTATTCCAGGGTGAATTTCAACCCGGGGTGGAAAGCACCACCACGACCTTGACCTAGGGGGTTGTTCGCGCGCCGGCGTCGCGTCCCTTCTCAACAACTCTATCCCACCACCTTTGTATATCGCACTTTATAGTACATAATATATTTATTTAGTATTTTTAAATACTGATGGATATGGCCGGAAAATTACACTAAATCCGGAAAAATCCCGATTTCCGGAAATTTATTGGGTCGATTTTCCCGGCGAAATTACGGTAATTTTCAACCCGGAAATTCCACTGCCAGTGGAAATTACGAGTGTTTAGGATTCTTGTAGGATTTTTCTAATTTTTTACCAATTTTCCGAATTTTCCGAATTGCGAGAATTTCCATCCCGCCGCAATTTAACTGAAATTCAAAAAATTCAAAATTCAAAAAAACCTCCTCATAAAAAATTCAGGATTTCGCGGAAAAATCCACACTAATTAAAATTGTCGTCCGACTTTTCCGAGTGGGATTACAAAAATTTTCATCGTTCCGCATTCCCCGGAATTTTCCGGAACTCTTGTTTTATTTTTCCGGAATTTTTGCGGAGCTGTCAATTTATTTTGATTTTTCAAATTTAGAATTGAGAAAATCTAATGAAAATCATTCGTCCCCGCGTGCTGATAACTTTTCACGTGTGGGGGGTTCGAGAAAAGCCCCTCCCCCCGTTCGTTGGGAGATGGAACCTGGTGGGGGGTTCTAGGTTGGATCGCCTGAATCAGCGGCGCGTCGCGATCCCTCAGTTGACCGCGAGTCTGCGATCGCGTTGGTTCGACGCAGATAACGGCATTAATTACTGACTAATGATCCTTTATCAATAATCATTAAAAATAATTGATAAACATTGAGGGAAGTGCCGGTATTTTCCGTGTCTTGTGCGGAATTTTCCGCGAGGGCCATGAGGCTCTGGATTGAGACATGCAGGTGAGAGTGATAGACTGGAATTTTTTCCTCCAAAAAATTCCAGAATTCCAAAATTTCCCTCCGAATTGCAGGAATTCCTATCCTACGGAAATTTCCCAGAAATTCCCGGAAATCTTATAATTGAAAATGAACTTCAAGATAAATTTATTAATTGTCAGGGATTAATTATGATAATTAATTAATCACTACGTCATGTCATAGAAGACCGCAGGATAATTGTCATTCCCAGTTTTCCTGATTTTTCCGTGACATTTTCAATTTTCGATGAGAAAATTCATAAAGAATAAAGTGGCAACAAAATTTCCTCGAATTTCCTACCAGTAAATTTCGGTAAAAATGTCAAACGACCTCCGGGATTTCCATCAGCAATAAAAGGAACTTTTTATTTCATTTGCATTCACGGTAATTACGAGTGCAATAGCAATAAACTGTGATTATTACCTCGACGGGACAAAGATAGCCGAAATAATGGAGAGCGTTGTCTGAAATGTCTGAATTCCCCTCGTCATAAATCCCACAAAAAAAATCACATGAGGATCTAAATTAAATTCCAGAATAAAAAATTAATTAGCAATGTACGTACGTCATACCCTCCCCCATTTCTCAACTGAATTTATTTTTCCCCCAGTAAAATAGCACTCTCACAATTTCTTTTGATTTACCATTCCAAAATCGATGAATTCTCATAATTTCCCGCGATTTCCAAAGTTCTTGGATCTTCCATGATATCGGTGCACCAGTGTTTACCCCTGCGTTAAATTGAACCACTCACCCTTCGCCGACATCTCGGAGTTATGGATCACCGGGATAATGCGTTCAGGGTCGCCGAGGAAATGACAATAAAATAGCTATTTAAATTTCATAAGGTTTTCAAGTTGTTTCAACCGTAAAGGGCAAACTCGAATATAGAAATCGAGATGGAATCGATGGTAATCTCGAGGGCTTCTCATCGAATTCAATTGCGTGTCGAGTTGTCGTTTATCAAGAAATGAAAGGGGAGGGCAATATGCATGAGCATCGAGAGTAATTTATTTTTAATACGAGATTTTACGGTCTTCCTGCCCCAACGAAATTATAATTACACTGATTTATTAAATGGTTAATCAATTCACAATTACTTTTCATGATTATGAAATTTTAATGGCATCACCGATTGCGCGGTCTTAATCAATTGGTCATTAATTAGGAAGAATTAATTAATGGATTATGGAATAGTTATGGAGTTTTACTCGTGGATAAATATTGATGGAGAATTTTTTCGGAATTGTCATGGTTAGAATTTTTGAAATAAAAATCTCATGAAATTTACTCCTCCATTTCCCTCACCGACTCATCGCCGTTGGACTAATGGTCGACTTCCAGATTCTCCTCCATTGCACAAGCACGTAATTTTTCATTTTCCCTGTCGTAAATCACACCGGGAAAACAGAGATTTTACGTGGAAAACCGAAATATGGAAATGTCTCGGGTACATGCAGAGAATTTTTTTGAAATTCTAGTGCTGGGACTGAATAAATCAGAATTCATCAGTTGTGTCACGTAAAATCTAGGTTTCATAGTAAAAAGTAATAAGATTTAATAGCAACAAGAGAAATATTATTAACAACAAAAAACTCCCGACAAATTTCCGAACGGGAGAAAAAATTTAAATTTAATAATGAAAATCTCAGAATCTAAGAGAGATACGAAAATTTTTATTGAGACCTTTTTTATAAAACTAATGAAGGGCTACAAGAAAGCTTCTCATGAAAACCTAGGTATTCCCGTTATTTCCGGAGATATCTCAAAAAATTCACGGCAGAGGGAAATCGGCTTGTGTATCGATTTGCCATTTGGTTGGATTTTTATCGCAGATTTTTCTCCGGGAAGGGCTTGACATTGACGAATAGAGTAATGCCGGATAGAGTGAAGGAAAAATAAAATACCATAATCGCGTGACTCGTCAACGACAACTGAAAATCGGTTGGATCGATTCCTCGCGCCAACCAAAAGCACGAGTTCAAGGGCTGTATTATGTACTAATGCATTAAGTTTGTGGAAACTTTGAATTTCGCGGTGTGGACACAGCAACAATTCTACCCCTGGGGTTTACCCGACGTGATATTGATTTTGCGTTGCAACAACAGATGTGGTTTAATGGGCTTTCCATCAGGTTCATTATGGGATATTGCAGGTGACAAGAGGAAAATTCGGCATCTCAAGACATCCCCGCAATCGTCTACAATTGAAATTATCCGGATAATTTTCCTCTGCTTATCCATTTACCGGAGGAATTTATCAATAATTATCGTATCATAAACAATATATCATTTGTTTAATTTTTATTTTGTGTGTGAATTTTTTGCAGTTGATTTAGTTGGGAAAAATAATTTTCCCTTCGGAGTTGTTCCGCGGTAAATCGGAAATCCCATACCCTTGCTGGCACTTGTTGCTTCGAGGGATGGAGGGTTGAGGGTGAGTGGATAAGGGAAATCTTGTGGAATTCTTTTTTACCATTGTTTTTGCAATTGTTGGGATGAGATGGGCTCGGTGAAAATCGCGTGAAAATTCAAAATCCCTGGGGATCGGGGGATTTCCAGAGGCCCATCCAATCAGGCCAAGGACTCCGGAATGTCGAAAGATTTTAGCCCGGAAATCCCACACCGTCCTCATAGCACCCAGTGATTTTTTATATTCAGAGAAATTAAATACTCAACACAAATTTCAAGGACGCAATTAATAATTGATATGAAATAAATTCAATCGGTCACAGAAATCCGAAATAATTTTCACGAGTTCACATTTTTAATGAGTGAAATAAAATCCAATCGTGGGGTTGAAATTGAATTTTAGAGAATTGGAATTTTGGGGATGAAGAATGGGATTTTAATTTCAGGTTCGACTGGAAATTTTGTAGAATTCCAAGGGCACGAAGAAAATTGCTCGATATATTAAAATATATTCTCAAATAATAATTGATATGAAATAAATTCACTCGGTCACAGAAATCCGAAATAATTTTCACGAGTTCACATTTTTAATGAGTGAAATAAAATCCAATCGTGAGGTTGAAATAGAATTTTAGAAAATTCGAATTTTGAGGATGAAGAATGGGATTTTAATTTCAGGTTCGACTGGAAATTTTGTAGAATTCCAAGGGCACGAAGAAAATTGCTCGATTTATTAGAATATATTTTCTCTCATTGAATATTTTGATTTATTAAAAGGAGGTGTGGCTTTAACTCGACTCTTTTCGAAGCAGAACCTCAAAGTTCCATCGACTTATCCTCTTCTACGACTCGACAAGAGCTTTCCTCTCCCCGAAAGTCCTCAAAATTCCCAAGCATCGTTTTATCGCAGTAGAGGTCAAGGCTATTGGAAAAATTCCGTACTATTTCCCTCTAGTTTCCATTTCCATTTTTCAATCCGCGAATTTAGAGTAGTCGAAGAGCCCCGTAAATCGCGCAGAAGGTCGCCTCCACGCAAGTAGTAAATTCACCCTGGAAGCGAGAGGTTAAACAACCATAAATCATCGTATTGGAAGTTTTGCACAATTAATCCAGTGAATTATAAATAATACGCACTCGAGTTTTTCCCCTGTCACGATTTTTATCCACCGCCATTTCTTCTCTCGGTGTTTTACTCCCAACTTTTCTCAAATCGTCTCTCAAATTATTCTCCGCTGTCATCATCTATTGTCATTTCCATTTCACCAATGAAGGAGTTGGAAAATCGCCAAAGTCGCGATAATGACAGTGGAATAGAGAATCTCTCAGGAAAATGCGGGGATTTTCCCGAATTTCCAATGATTAATTATGAATTTTCAATTAATGAATTATCTCGGTGCGTCATTGTTTTTCAATTAATAATTGGTCCGAAGTAACGAGAGAGTACATATATTTCAATCAACGTCGCTAATTGATTATAAATTTATTATTAATAATAATAATACCAGTCATTTAGTAGGATTGTAAAATCACATGAATAAATGGAAATTTCATCATTTTTTTACAACAATTTGTCTTTATTTATTTCAACTTTTGAACCCTATGCAATTGACCTTTTTTCATCGTCTCGATTCTCCCCGTTGGTCTGGCCTTCCCCTAATTAATGAACCCCGTTTTCCGCGTAATTAAAAGTTCTCTAAAGTGGTAGAGCCGCAGTAATGCCCCGGCATTGAAAAATACGAGGTCTGAATGAACACAATTTGCTTTTCATTCGATATCAAAATGAAAAATTTCACAGCAGATAAAAATCTCCTCTGACATCCGCTTGATTAAACCGTTTTCTTCACTTCAATCCTCTCGATTTCCCACGTGTCACACCTCTGATTTTGTATGGGCGATAATTCAAATATAAAAGTTTTCTCCAAATGACTTTTCCCGGGTGTTTTCATTCAGCTCGAAGGTCGAAGTTCAGTGTCGCGATTTTTCGTGCGCGAGAAAATGAATACCGCGGAAATTTTTGTTGACATTGCCCAAACTTTTTTGTACGTATTGATGAAAACAGGAAAACTTGAAAATTTATTTATATCCAGTGCTTGTCGATGACTTTTTACAGGGCGATAAAATTCCGTTATTTATCCGCAACGCAATTTGATGACTCAACCCTCTGATTTGAATTATGACAACCCACGATTGTCATAATTTTACCAATTCAAATAATATCAAATATTTTATTAATTCATCAATATTTATTAACAACTCCTGTAGTCCATAGAAACTGATTTTTTTCTAGAAGAGATATGGTTTTTAATTCAGAAGCCGTTGAGAGAGTTGAGTCGATTGTGCCTGGGTACAACTGGTCACAACAACCCGGTTGTAGTCACAGCTGATGTTGTCTGCACGGAGCCACCTAGTGGTCTTCCTCTGCTCCAGGTCTGGCCGAGTGATTCACCGAGGGGTGAAGCCGACGGGCAGGCCTTCATCTTCCCCGATGCCCCGGACAGCGTCAACGACAGTGGAATAGACTCGATCCAGGTAAATAAATAACGATCACCCCGAGACAAAAATCCACCGACAAAGGAATAATTTTCATTTTACTCATCCAAAAAGGCATCACCATCTCCATGCGGTGCAGCATGTACCAGCACATCAGCCAGTCCCCAGCAGTCACGACGTCCAAGTCTTCTGCATCCTGATCACGCCCGACTTAATCTCCACCACCTGCACCACAATCACCACACAGTATCCCATGACCGATTGAGATCACCACCATCACCCGACAGAACATCCATCGACGAGGAGCCACCACCTGCACCCCCCAGCCCCTCAAGCTCAACAACCAGCAGTTTGAGATCAATGCCAAGCTCAGCACTGGCATCAGTCCATTCAACTCATGATCGGCGACGTAGCAGCAGGTGATCACACTAATGCCCAATCAATAATTAAGAAAATAATCTCTAATTATATCATTATGATTTTGTAATTTTCTGGGAACTATCATTCAGGTATTCTGTGTTCGATGCTCTGGACCTGGAGTACGCTCTTCTCCGAGCAGCTGCCCGTGGTTCTGTGGGCCCTTATTCACTCTCCGAGTCACTCCACAAGCTGACGTTCACCCAGAGTCTAGCATTTCCAGCACTAGCTCGTGGTCTTGCTTCTAAACAGAGTGTACCAACTAGACGTCCCCAGCAGCACTCTGAGAGCGGTTTGAATGCATTTGCTAAAGTCGTCACAGCTGTTATACTCATGCTTGTGAGTGTTCTCGTGTTTGGTGTTGTGTATAAATTTGTGAGGACGTGAGGGTGGCTGCTGGCACCCGGTAGACACTACGAATCACAAGACATCAGGAGAGTTGAGGATCCTGTTGTCTCGGGTGCTAGCGATTTATTTCAAGTGGATACGTGACTCTTTAGTTTTGATATCGAGGGGATGACCTGGTGGAACGGGAAATCGTCACGACGGAGGGGGGGAATCATTTTTTTCAATATCCTAGAAATGAAGGAAGAGACGGGCATTTTTGTGAAGAACATCGCATAATTATTTATAATCGATTTTTTAAAGCTTTGTTTATATTTAATATCTTATTTATTAATACATCGTGTCTAGGTGTTCTCTGATTATTGAAGAATTTTTATTTCATTCGGATTAATCAATTATTTGAAGTAAATATATTTCTCTAATAAATAGGAATAACTGGAAATTAATTGAACACTCGGTGTTTTTTTTTAATTACTTCAATTAACGGAAAATCTGGAAAATTTGTGGGATTTTTCCCGGATATTCATATTCTACGGGCACTTTTATGAATTTTTTTTAAATTGAGAGCTCGTGATATTAGGGGATTTTTTTGTGAGTGTAAGAGACGTTTTTTCTCGGTGTGCGTTGGGAATTGAGTAACTGGCGATGAATAAACATGAGTATTTCGTGTGCCTCAGCGATATTTTTCTACGGACATGTGAGAAAAATGGGAGGAAGCGTAAAATGAAAATTCGTCTCTCGAGATATCGATCCCCAGGATATCCCGGAATGTACCGATGATATCTCGAGTCAGTACGTCGAGTCCATACATGAAAGATGAAGCTAATGGAACTGCGATATTAATCAGTATTTCTGTGAATTGATTGGACAACAAATTTTTATCTGACACCATTCAATATTCCATCTAAATGTTGTCTCGTTTTACGGAGATTTATTCGTTTAAAAAAAACTCAATCGCTACTACGCCATGATAAAAATCGCAGATAATCGCGAAATTGTGAACAAGAAGTTAACAAAAAATATCTTCAAGTGTCTGCTATTTGCGAAAATTCCTAACGTCAATGTCGACTTCTGTCGAAAAACTACTCTAAAAATTTCCGACAAAAACTATTCACCTCAATTTTCCTGTCCACATGATATTCCAGATAATTAACATTCCCAGAAATTCCAGTCATTAATTTCCCCAATCGAATGACCAGATTAAAAAATTGTTAATGCAAGAAACAACTTGATTAATTAATTCTATTTGATGGATCTCAACGTAAATAATTGTTCGATATAAAAGCTTCGATTATGGTGAATTGAAATTGAAAAATTAATAGCGGGGGTTTAATTGATTAGTTAATTAAAGCCTTTGGGTTTATTCTCGTTATTCTTATTCATTACTCTCTATTTTTTTCTTAATAAAACACTGACCATGAATCGAGTGGGGTTTAAAAATATCCTACAACCGAGGCTGTAATGTCACCAAGTCACTTCCAGCTCTCATCCCTCGGTTGCTGTGTCCTTTTTTTCTCTCATCACGCTCCAGTGATAATTTTTTTCCCCTTTACCTTCTCTTTGTAAGCATTCTTACCTGCATTCCTTTATCCCCGGATATTACAAGCAACTGACAATCCCTCAGCTTTTATCAGAGTCGAGTTTTTCAAGATGTAATTGAAATCTTCCTCGGGCTAACAATGTCGACAATTTTTTTCTACTAATGTTTGTGTGGAATTTCTGGAAGAATTTTATCCGAATGCATGACACGAGAGCTCTAGATTCAGAAAAGGGAGGAGATAAAAAATTAACTGGGCAAATTCAGATATTTATTTCTCCGAAGGGATCCAATATATTGCTCGAAGAATATTTTATGTATGTTATGGAATTTGTAACGTAATTATTAATAATTCATCGAACTTATGAATGTGATATTTTAAAAAATTTATATTGACATGAATAATTTATCTACCTTCATCCGAATTATTTTTCCAAATGAAGTACCTAAAATTCCTCCCCCGTTATTCCTTGAATTTCCTATTTCTTACCGAATGCGAAAAAATTGTGTGAATGAAAAATCCTCAGTCTGCGCTTCGTACGACGCAATGAATTTATGAAATTAAATTAAACAAGCCTCAATTAATAAATACTGTAAATTGTAAATAAACGGCAATTAATGTAATTGAAGGAATAGAGATGAATGAAGAGACTCGATGAAGGCCGAATCAATGAAATCCTAGATGAATGAAGGGGAAAAAATTACTATTTTAGTTCACATCATTTATTTTACGACCGAAGGATCAACCGCAAGCAGTCGATAATTCTCATATCTCTCCTTAAACTATTACGTAATTTAGATTACAACGTGTTCCCTCTCGAGTTGTCCTCATTAATTTCTTCATCTTATTATTATAATTAATGCTTTTTAATTCACACCTAGTGCTATTTTATCTACAGTGATATTCCACTCGCTATACAATCGACTTCAGCCATTCAACGATTCGTATTTAATATGATCTCTGTAATTTATCTCTTTTTAATTCACCTATACACATTTTCGTTATTAATCTACCGAATTCATAACTCGGATTAAAAAATTTTTGCCTCCAAAATATTTTCCAGATTGAAAAAACATTATTTTTCTGCAATAAAGACGAATTTTTATCAAGTCGAGAATTTTTCATGAATTTTTTTCATTCGATTAATAATATTCGAATATTTATTTAAATATTTCAGGACCACCATTGGAGAGCAATAATTTTTCAACTCGATTTCTCAAGTTCTCAATAATTCAGCGATGGAATGACGAAGCAAAAAGAGTCATTTCCACTTCCAGAATAATCAGAATAATATTTAATATATAGAATCGAAAAATGTGATGACGAAAGTTTTAATTTCACAGTGAGATTAAATAAAAAAGTGTTCCACTTTTTTCCACTCCATCAATTTTCCCCCAAAGGACTGAAATAAATACTCAAATTTTCAGTTCTTTCTGGTCTGTATAAAAATTTCGTGACACGCCCCTTGACAATACTCATTAAAACCTCATTACGAAGTGAAATTGACCCGTCCAATTTCTCCACTCCCCTACATACCTCAAACTAATTAGTTCTCTGTGTTGTGGAATCATCAGACTCATTTAAATTATGTACAGAATAATTTATTCATTTGTTTCAGAGTTCAATGTATCCTAATTCCCACGACTCATTGCACTCCCCCCTCCCTCTCCCCCCAATTAAAACCATTCCTCAATTATCCATTGATAGATGTTCCAGAATTTCGAATTAATCCGTTGAATTAATCATTACTTTTTTTTTGCGTTGTTGTATTTTTTCGTTTTTATTTTTCATGCTAGACGTATTTCCCTCGATGTCTGACTATTCATCTATCTCTGTTAATATTTTAATTGTGATAATTAATCCCTTCGATTGTTTAAACGCGCGAGTCTCCAATCCCCCGTCATTAGTCCCAAAAAATCAGACTGATTTAATCATCAACTTTAGTCCATTCGTTCGAAGACATTATTTATATTAAAACGACAGTTACAAATAGGTCAGAAAGAAAAAACTTGAAAATAGTTATCTCTGAATAATTATTTCTCATTATACTTTCTTGATTAATCGTTGGAAAATTCTTGAATCAACTCTGGGTGAGACTCGCGCTTTAGGCCGTGCACGATCTTCAAATAAAATATTAATTATTAATATTTTCAATTAAATACTTTCTCACCACCTCTCCAACTCTCATTACCCGATAATCAAACCCAGGTAGAGAGAGAAAAATTAAAATTACGACAATGAGACAGAAAAGGGTCTGTGATAACCCGGCGCTCTACGTAGAAAAATAAATTATCGCCGACAACAATTCAGAGTTAAATTGTAAAATAATTTGTCATTAAATCGTTTTACAATTTCTCCGAATCATCAAACGAATTCCTTCACTCCATTTATACAATATCATTAACAATTTAAGGACTTCCTCGAAAATATACTCGATTATATTAATGATTTACTTCCGAAGCTCAATTCGAGTAGTAAGGGTTGTATTTTCATCAGACACATTTCACAGAGACGAGGGAATCCCCATTCAAGAAAAATCTCTTAAAATTTTCCCATCCACCAAAAAAAAAAATCATCGAATTAAAACCAAATTTCCCCCAAATTCTCCGAACAATAATAAATCCCTAAAAATTCATTTATTTTCAAGAGAAAAAAAAATTAATAAATAAAATAAATGATAAAAAAAAACGAGTGAAATAAATAAATCCAGTGAATAAAACCTAGTTCCTGGGAAAATGGATATTTTCATTGAAAAAGGGATTTTATTTCTCCTGTTATCAGGTAATCATCGAAGATGGGAATTTTCTATTTAGCCGACAGTGAGTACTACACACCGACTGAAATATAAAAAGAATGTGCAGTGAACGAGTAGTCGCACCCTGTGCCAGTCAGACGTGCAAATATCGTGGGGATAAATAAATCGAGGCAGTCCGATCGTCGAATTATTCACACTGTCAGACAACTTGACAGTACAACAACCAGATCATACATTTCTACTGTTAAATACAACACTAAACCACCGACAAAGTTATCACAGACGCGAAGAACGTTTTCGCTAGAGTATTTCCCCTGTATTTAAATTCTATCCTCTTTCCACATCTCGATACACTGATATACTTTTGATATTTATTATTTGCACGTTAGTCTAGACAATGGACAATTACGCGAACACGTTCTCCTCGTTGACCATTCAATTTGATTTGTATCTCTTAAATTTAGCGTTAGATTTTTATTTTTTTTGGAATTATCTCTCACACTTTGGCTCGAGCATTTGGTTTTACTTTGTGAAGATGAAATTTAGTACTCATTACTCCGGGGATTCTTCGGAATTTATGAATTTTTTATCTTGTCGTGTGACACTTTGTAATTCAGTTGCAAAAAAGTGAAAAGAGTCAAGTCGAATTTTACGATTTTGCTGAATATCGATTAATCTCGAGAAGGGTGGATCTTAAGAAGAATTTGCAAAATACCTTTTTTGTGGGAAATTTAATCGACTTTAAAAAAGCTTTATAACGTTTTTATGGGAGATCTATAGTGTGGGAGTTATATCGATAGTTAGAAAATGTGGGATTCGACTTTTTTCAGTTTACTATCTTGTCACTTGATTTATTCCGCGAGTGTCGATTTAATTCCTTTCCGCCTCGTAACCCACCATTTCGAAAGTTGGAACACGAAAAATTTTGTATATTCCACGACGAAATAATCTCTAATCAAAAATTACTCTATTAGTTTTGTTTGAAAGCCCGTTAACAAGAAAATGACAATCGAACGTGAATTCGAAGTTATTTCTCCTTGAATTGATATTTCAGTTAGAGACGATAACACATATCGTTCAATCTTCAATATTACGTTGTCATGACGTAGATGTCCCCAGGGACAGTGGATACTCCACTCTTTCAAATACCCATTTTTTATTTTCAATTTAATCTACTGATAGATGATCTGATGGGTCGGTTCCTTCGGAATATCACTGTCTAAATTCAGGTAGGCGCCATTTTTCGTTATCAGATAATGAGTGAGAAGTTGACCTTTTCCCTTCACAAACACCATGCCACGTTGTTCGAAACCGTAGCCGAAGGGCTCAAGGATTTTTCTCGTCTCGTCAGTCACCTAAAAGTAAAAAAAAAAAAAAAATCATGGGAAAAAATCGTTTCTTATCGCGATAAAAATAGTTGGAAAATTATTTCCAGCTGTGCATAACTCTGGCACCGCATTCCCCACCATTTCCACAGTCTAGGAATATATCCATAGGATATTTATAGAATAAATCCTGAATCCGGGGGTATTTATGAATTTACCTGGAGATGCCCGACTTTGCCAGTGCTTTCCATCCTGGAGGCAACATTGACAGTATTTCCCCAGATATCGTAATGGGGTTTTCTCGCCCCAATGACTCCAGCGGTAACTGGACCATGATTGATCCCCATCTTCAGGACGAAATGATTGAAGCTCTGCTCATTGATACTGGATAAGGCTTTCTTGAGCTCTAGTGCGAACTCCACGAGGGCAGACAAATGGCCCCACCTAGGGCCATCCTCGAGATCAGCATCCTCAGTTATTCCTGAGGCAGCCATATAGGTCGAGCCTATCGTCTTGATCTTAGTGATGCACTTGAACTTACTCTGGTCGAGAATCTGTGGCAATGAATAAAAAAAATCAATTATCCGAATTCACTGGATATCTGTCAGTGACTAATCATCACGATAAATAAACTCACAGCATCAAAATCGGAGATAACTTCATTGAGAAATCTGAGGCACTCAAGGCCCTGATTGTTGATGCTCTCCTCGCTGTAGAAATCGGCAAACGTTGGCATACTCGCAAAAAGTACACCGACCTCGGAGTAACTCTGACTGTACAGATCATCGTGGTGCCTCGTATTCGACAGATAGTACATAGCAACATGAGGAGGTAAAATATTATAAATCAAAGCGCCATTTCTCCTCTTCATGTCCGCTGCCCTCTCCCTCTGGGCCACAACTTCCCTTCCACGTAAAAAGAGAATTCGCCTCGATTTCTCAGTCTGTTAAATAAATAATAACAAACTGAAAATTTTCCACTCGTTGCAGTGAAATATTTCATGACTGAGACCCGAGGGGTTCAATCGAGAATTCATGTGAGAGAAATAAAAAAAAAGAATGTACAAATAAAATAGAAGTGAACGTGCGAATTCTTCTGGAGACGTGAATTAAAAAATTGATAAACGATGTGATTTCGATTGATGCTGGGACAATAATCGAGAATTCGCCACGTCAGGCTATCGAGGGAGAAAATTAATCGACACCCGATCCCAGGGGTAATTGCCATCCCCCTAGCCACCCTTCACCCACCCACGTCCTCTTCCAGAAGGATAAATACACGTTGCATTCACCTCGATCGATTATACACGGAGTCAATTGTCTCGAAATTCTCCCCCAATTTGTGAATTATACTCACGTATCTGGCGACAATGACGAGTGTAATTGCCACAGTGATTAGAGTTGCTGAGAGTGAGTACTTGAGGGGTAGTGGTACTGGATCAGACGAGTAAGACGCCATGTCTTCGCGATCGAGACTTCCACCGAGTATGAGAATATTGACAGAGCACTGGCTACCAGCGAGCATGAACATGAGTATGGATTTACCCAAGTAACTTATGTACGCTGGCATTGAAATAACAATCAGCGCTAAAACACCCACGTACGAGTAGTACGAGGGATAGGGACAGCGAGATGATTTTATGGAGGCGTTGGTGGGTGGATCCGCCTCGTCTATCACAGCACAATTGCCCTGGGAAATAAAATCACTATTTCAGGTGATTGAGCATCGTAATTAGGACAGGTGAATCATAAAGCAGGTGGTAATGCATCATTACTGTACCTGGGGGAATTTTTAATGCACCTATTTCATTCTCTTTTTCATCCACTCTCTCGGATTCATGTATTTTATACATCAGTCTAGTGGTGGAATATTTTTTTCATGGGCTTACCATGTCCAGGATGATGAAAATACTCAGGGAAAATATCATGAGCAGTGCGAGGGTTCGTCTGAGCCATCGGGCACGAACGGCACTCCCTAGGCACGTTGCACCTGCCAATACTATTCCAAAAAGTGTCACCATTCCTATACCACCGAAGGTGAATTTACCCGAGGGCTGCACCCTCCAGACTGGCGCTGCACAGATCATCACCAGGGGTCCACCTGAAATTCAAAATTCAATTATAAAAAATTCCGCAGAATTTTTTTTTCTAATTGAATTTACAATTCTCTGTTGACCTCCATGAAACAATTATATAAATAATTATGTTTGATCCAAAATTTAATAGTTCTACTGTAATCATTCGGAGAATACTCGAAGAATTGAGTTGAATTAAATGAAAAGTCAATTGTTATGTATTGTTTATGTCAATTGAATTTATTTCAAAAATTTTTTATTTTAAAAAATGATAACAGATTCACCTAACAACGAGAGTGGTGAGAAAGCTTCCCCACTGCTGTGAAAAGCATCTTCGACATTGGGGTCCTTGAAGTTGAGAGTGAGCCAGGAAGCCTGACCCCTCAATTCAGCGCCACCCACTGATAAAAAAAAAAACGGCCAATAAAATACCAAAATAACATAAACAACGCGCATCAATTATCAATTATCAATTATCAATCCACCTCGACTATCGAGTTCTTTTCTGAGTCTCTCCCGAAAGTCCTTCGAGTCCTCCTTAGCCTCCTCATCAGGAATATCCATCATGGTCTGGGATGTCTCAGTCCCAGCGAGTGATGCCACACTGTTCCCCATAGCAGGTTGAAAAGGCTTAAGTGCCCTGACAATAAAATAAGTGATGAGGCCAGCCTTAGCAAGTGCCTCTTCCCTCCTCTCGCCATACGCCGGCTCCACCTCAAATTCTCCATTCAAAAAGCTCATCGTCGTATTGGAAATATGCACCCGCCTTAATTATTTCATGAAAACAATAAAATAAATCATCGAAAGAATGAGGTATGTGGGGTAAATACCTGATTGGGAATTTGATATTAATTATTTTTACCCAGCCATTCCACTGCTCTCCATTTTATTAGCCAACACCACGTCCTTACTGTAAACGTCAAATTGCCACTGTCTCTGTCCAAGGACACCAGCCAGTACGGCACCAGTATGTATACCAACTCTCATATCCACTGGGCTCTGGGTCTTGGCTTGTACGTATTTTATTGCCTCCACCATTGATAATCCCATGTGGACACAGAGAATCGCGTGATCCGGACGCTCAACGGGTGCTCCACTCACGCAGTAGTAGCAATCACCCAGGATTTTTATCCGCAATTGCTCGTACCTGATGACAGAATAGATTTTATCCTATTTTTTACTCATTAATTATAGGCATCACGATTCGAGACAGCAGTACATGAACTCTCAAGATAATTATCCAGTTGTGATTTAAAATTGATTTTTTTTTTAAATTGATTCATTGATTGATTTTGGGAAATTAAAAGATTTGCTCTTGTCGGGTTAGGGTGATTTTTTTAGGGGAGAGTCGAGTCGATTAAAGTCCATTCTTCGACTCGATTCGACTCTATCGAAAAACTGTCGCTCTCACCGAAGATAGCATCCGCCATTTACCCCCTAATTTGACTTCCAGAATGCAACACGGTATTCCACTACTCCCTGGAATTCCTGATCGAGTATCTCCGTCGAGCCACCCACCCACCTACTCCCCTTTCCACCCCCGGAATCGAATTCCCCGTCTCAGCGTTTACCGGTATTTTATTTCCATCGATATTTCGTTTTGTATTTTTCCCGGTTGTTTCACGTGTTTAGTAAATTCGAGGGGACGTACAAGACTAGAATAAAGAGTAATTTTTATTTATCCCCCTCAATATTTCATTCTATTTTCGTTTCCTCCGATGTACCGGGAATTTCGAAAATTCAAGAGGGAAAATTGTGTATTCGAAGCGAAATATTTATTCAGTTCTTCCGTCTTTCGTTTTATTTTCATTCCATCTACCATTTCAAGTGTTTATCTGAATCTGGAAGTTCCGTTTCATCCGCGCTCCCTCCACTATTTTTTAATTCGACAAGATGAAGAGGACGGGAAAATATTCATTTATTCTCGAATATATTCATTTTCCCCGGTTTTCCGGGGGTTGGAAAATACGGGAGAGGCAAGTGTTGCTGGATAGACAAAAAAATATTCATTTTAAAACGGAATATTGATTCGGTCTCTTCCATATTTCATTTTAATACATTATTATGTTCCCTATATATTTCTCCTTCATTTTGCTTCAATATTTAATTTTCACGTGTCATCCAGATCGAAATATCAATTTTGTTTTATTCCTAGAATTTTTTGTTTCTTCTTAAAAAAAAATACAGAATATTACCGCAATAATTTCTTGAATTATGGGATTAGAAAAGGGGGAGGGCTTCACCAGGAAGATTGAGACATCTTTCTCACCCTGATTTTTTCCTCCCCATGTGGGAGGGTGATATTTCACGGCTCTCTGTCCCCCGGCATAAATTGCCAACAAGAGAATCAGCGTAATCGATCGATAAGACAAAATGGCCAAGGAAAACCGGAAGAATGTAGAAACTCGGGTGGGAGAAAATTCAGGGGATGGGTGGGTTGAGGTGGGAGAAAATTCAGGGGGTGGGTGGGTTGAGGTGGGAGAAAATTCAGGGGGTGGGTGGGTTGAGGTGGTAGAAAATTCAGGGGGTGGGTGGTTGTTGGCCCCGATGATACGGCTATTTACCATTCGCTGAGACGATCGAAGCGTGCAAAAAGTTCGTTTAAAATTTTGACAAGCTCGCTGGCGCTGTACGTTGACGAGATGGCGGTGAAGCCAACGATATCAGCATACAAAATGGAGACATTCTCATGTCTCGACATGTAAATTTTTTTGAATTGCGTGTCCATCGATGCACCGAGATCCTGACGCATTTTAACAGCCACGTGCTCCGGTAGGACACTCAGGAGAAGGCGTTCCTGCTCCGCCGATTGCTCTTCAATTACCAATTGTGCCTGGAGGCATTGACGGGTCTCTAGAAATGCCCGGCGTTGCTGATACTCAGCTAGAGAGTAACTAGAGGCACCAAGAACTGCTGCCGCTAGTGATAGCGATCCTGTTATCGCCTGAAAATCAGCGATTAAAAATACTCCATTGAATTTTATAACGAAAAAATCAAAAAATCATTCTTTGCCATTTTAATTAATTAATTAATCGATGATCGATTTGTTCTTAACCACCGGATGAGTATTTAAAAATATATGCAAAACACATTCGATTCAGTTTTTAAAATATAAATATTTCTGTATGGGACGACACCCTCGAGCCCTTAACCCTCAACCCTCACCCCATCGCCGATTAAACATTAAAAATAAAACAAATGTCTTCATCGGTATAATTGCGCCGAGAAAGTACTAAAAATAGAATAAATAGTTCTATTGGAACAGTTCCACCGAGTGGATAAATCCACCGGATTATTACTGAGCGATAAATTTCCGATGAATGACGACTCGAGACGGTGCACCCCGTGGATGATTATTAATGAGTTCAACCCACGTATTTAATTAAATCCGGTAAATTACCGACTAATCGAGTACGTAACGTGCGTTATGATGGTTACATCACAGTGAGTTGGCTCGATATATGATCTATTTTAAACTAGCCATTCACCATACTTCACTCGAGTGTAAATAACCAACACCTGTGCACGTGTGTACCGGTCATTTAGCTTTCGCGACCGCTTCTGAACCGCTCGAACGGACCGCCATCGAATCGGATCACTGGCGTTTCATTGACCAAAATTAACCAGAGGGAAAACACGCCAAGGATCACCAGGAAATTCACCCTCGCGAAAAAATTCCGGAAACACATTCCCCTTTTTTTTATCATTAAAAATTTCTTCCAATTAACATCTTAATTGTCAATAAATTATTACAGACGTCTCAATTAAATTTCAATTGACAGCTCTCACTGAATTTTCTATTTTATTTATGTTTAAGAATTGAAAAAAAATTGGCTCTTCTTGGGAAATTATTACGAACGTGGAAATTAAGGGAAATTATTCTTGGAATTTGCAGAGAATTTTGAGTGATTCGGGAATTTAGGAAATTATTTGTGCCTTCGATCCGAGAATTTTGAAATTCTATTTTTGTAACGAATAAATCCTCCCCAGGATCTCTCGATTATTTCCCAGGGGATGACGCGACCCTGGATTAATTCCCAACCCCCGGATTGCGTCCTTATCTAAATCCCTCGATTCGGTTTACAAATTTCGGCAGGGGGATAAAATAACCATCGAACAAACCGATTTATTCCACGAACAATCGGTTAAAGTTCCCAACAAAAGTTTTCTCCTTCTTCCATTGTTGTTCAAGGGCATGAGAATAAAAGCGTTTGAACTCGGAACTTGTGTTGTGGGAGAGTGGAAATCAGCAAAAGTGTCCAGACTATTCATACTAAAATAAAGAGGAAACCGCATTCATGTGAGACACCCTCAAAAACCCGAGACGGAAGTTTTCCTCAGCCAGAGAAGTGTGAGCATGAATAAATGAGGAAAGAGAGAAATCGTAACAGAACTGGAATTTTTACACAAAAAAAAAGCCAAGAAAAATTACTCAAGACCTGTAACAGCCATTTTGTCCCAAAATTTCCAAAACCATTTCCAAAATTTCCCCCATTTTTTTCATTCCCCAGACATAGCAATAAAAAAAATTAATCACACGAATTAATTAAAAGACCATTGATTTTTCATTTGATTTTATTTATTTTATTGATTTTATTTATTTCACGTAAAAATATTTTCCAGCGATTAATGAATGAAAATTAATATTTTGAATCGTAGAGATTGATTAGATCATTCATCCAATTTAATAATTAAGAATATTCTCGAAAATATTTAATTATCCAATTAGTCTTCAATCAACAAATTGAAATGACTAATGACCCCGGTAATACCTCAATCACTGGAGATTAACAAGAAGTAGATTACTTCAGGAATAAAAAAGACCTCTCACTCCCAGGGGAATCCCTCGATCCCAGAAACTCTTGATTCTAACTGTTAAATCTACTCCTGGAACTTGAATCCAAGATAATCATTCGACTCGACTAAAAATATTCTGTAATTCGCGGACATTAAATACATACAAAATAATCTCTACATTCCACCTGAATCAAATATTTAATTAATCCACTTAATAAATTATTAGCTGAATCCTTTTTTTAATTATTTATTTTTTGCATATATTTTTGGCAACCCATTCACATATATATTTATTTACCACCGCCATGTAAAATCGAAAAATTTCTGGCGTTTCGAATTTAAATGACTATGAAATAATTTCCGAAACGTCATCATTGTGTAATAATTCCCGTACATTCTCAGTAAGACGAGCGAAAAATTCGATTTGTCATTTAATTTATTTGATTTTTTTAAAGATTCATCGAACAATGAATGATAATATATTGACAATAAGTCCTTAAAGGGAGACATACCAAGACTTCAACGGGCGGTTGAAATGGATTTTTTCCAAGTCCGACGACCGCCACAACATAAGTAGTAACAGTCCCCAGTGCAAGTAGAGCACAAAGCAAAAGTCTGAGAGGTAAAGTAGCAAAGAGTAGATAAACCATGAGTAAAAGCCAGCCAAGACTGTCCCTGGGTGTAACATCAGCCTTCAAAAATAATTGGGCCAGCAATTGGGCAAGTGTTAAATGCCATGCCATATGGGGTAATGTTGACCAGAGTGTATCCCTTGCTCTGGTCCCTCTCTCAACAATTGCCAATAATCCAAGATTAAGACCGAGGAATATAGCAACAACACCCCGTGCTTGCAACTCGGGTTCAGGTGACAGTAGCATGTAAATATCATACAGAATGGCGTACACGATGAAGCAGTGAAGACCACCTCGTTTTTGCTGCAACGATGAAGAACGGTACAATCTCTCCAACTGAGGACACGAGAAACTCGTTTTGAAGAGATTCGATGGTCGTCCTGACTTGAGGTACGAGTCCTCGTTCGGTATCATCAACCGCTGAGACATGATTTATTATCGATATCGTATAATTACACTGGTACACGATTAAGTTCATTAAAATCCACGGGCAACGAGTGACCTTGGACCATCTGGCTCTCTTCACTCCAACGTGACTCTGTCAATTCAAAATTACACGCTCTGATACCGTCCCATTGTCGTTTCATCCTCTTCCCCGGTTTCCTCATGGTCGATCAAATCAGAGATCAGGAACGTTCCACATTATTCCACTGTCATCGTCACTCGGATATATCTTTATTTCACACAATTATTCAATCCCATTCGACTTCACGAGCACAAGAATTCCTGGAATTAATGACAATCGATGATTGTCATTATTGGGTGATGGGATTGATTGATTTGGGAGTGATCTCGAATTTTTTGGAGAATTCACTGGATCGCGTAATTTATCGCTAAATTTATCGCAAAATTTATCGTTAAATTTATCGCGGAATTTATCGCGGAATTCATCGCGGAATTTATCGCGGAGGGGATGGCGATCCTTGTGGCGGTATTCGTGGCGGTTCTGGTGGTGGAATTGATGGATTCGGTGAGCTGCGTTAAAGAAAATGAAAATACGGCTTTATATAAACAGTGAGACCCATGGAGATGGGGTCCTGGTTCGTATGCACCGCCCGCGCGCGGGGGACTGGCCGGGTTACTACCAGTTTCCTATCACCCGCTTCCTCGTTCACCGCTCTTCACCACCGACATCGTCCCCTCGGCCCCGAGTCTCTCCTCTTCAGGCTTGCGCTCTTCGACTCGACTACCCCGGGTCGATATTCAACCACCGACACATTTCTATGGCCACCACTACTCCTTCGAAGGAGTATTCAAGGGGTGGCCAGTCTCGGAGTTCCTTCTCTTTTTTTTTCCACCGGAAATCATCGAGAAATTATTTTGAGAGAATATCTAATAATCATTATGATTGAATAATATTTTATTTTTCGTACAAGTGGAATTTATTAATTATTAGGAATTTTTTTGGAGATGCAGGCACAAGAGAAAAGAGAAGAGAATTCCTCAATTTATTTTAAAGGTTCGGTTAAAGGATTTTAATCCTGCGAGTGAGAAACTTGTCTCGGCGTTCATTAATCCATTATGAAAATAATCTACAACCCCCGAATTATTTCATGGCTATTATCTTTCCACACTCTGCATCTTTTAATTGTCCCACTACTCACCACAGCTATTTTCCCCGAAAGTCTCTTAACACTCGACCTCCAGTTTTCGCCGGGAGGAATCCAAGACACTCCAACGGCTCAGTAATCCCTCATCCTCACACCTCTCATTTAAATTCGGGAGTTCATACCAAAATCTCCAAAAAAAAAACTCGCGAATTCCAGAAATGAGAAATTAAATCGTTCTGACGTTTGCGTAAGGGAAATTTCGAGGCCGAATTAGCGGAATTAAATTTTTCTTCAAGATTGCCAGCAATTTGCGGAGATAATTAGAGGGAAATTTATACAGAAAGACTTACGGAGAGATCAGTCGGTTCATTTAGAGAGTCTAAAATGTTTCGTTGTTAAAAGGTAAAACCGTCTGCTTTAGTTCATGAAATGTATGTGTCACCACCGGTGGAGTGGATCGTGGAAAATAATTGGAGTGGAGCCAGTCGAGCAAATTCCAAGGAGGAAGACTTTCCAGACCCGGTTCCTCATTTTTTTTTCCACTCTCCTCCTCAGAGGATCGATGACAGGTCGATAATCGATCTGTCATAAACGGAGGATACACCACTTGATTGAGGCTTTTCTCCCATTTGTCAGCTTTGTTTTAATTAAAATCCCCTTTGAGCGAGAAACCATCTCGAGAGCCTCCATTATCTATCACTCATTTTTACATCTCCTTTTATTTATTTATACAAAAATATTTGTAATAAAAAAAATTAAGTGATTATCATTATTTCCATTTCCACAGTTTATTATATTTCTCGATATTGTAAACGTTACGAAATAATTACCACACTATTAAATTTTAAATATTTCCATTGAACATAAATATAATATTCACATTAACCTGCCAATTTTAAGTAGAAAAATAGAAAAATCTAATTACTGTGTTTATCTATTAATAAATAATTATAAACAATGATGAGCCCACTAAAGTATCCATCTGCGATATATTAAAAACTAATAAAATCTACTGGAATTTTCGGATAGAATCACCAATTTTTTATCATCGCCAACTGCTCGTCTGTGAGGATGTAGCCGATTTCATGCATGGGTTTTACGATTTTTGGCTTTTTGCTGAGCGAATCGATCCACTTGTAATAAGGCAATTCCTCCCTCGTACCTCCGTACATCTTGGGAAGACTCGTTGGTTTTATGTGCTTGTGAAGGCTTGACATGTCATCTCCATGGAAGAAAACACGTTCCTGCATTTCCTTGTTCAATAATGGTTTGAAAACTGAATATATTACATCGAACACCCATGATTGATGGAGTATGTGGATTGCGTGTGTCTTCATGGGGAATGACGTTACCATCAGTGCTATCACCATATTTGCAATCTGTTATAAACAAGGAACAATAATCAATCAAATTATTTCAATACTCATCAAAACTCAGAGAGAAAATTCTGACGATTTTTACCATTACCAATTAATATAAAACAATTCCATAGCTCGTCTCGTTTTCACTGTTATAATAATTTTTTAATATTTATGTATGAAGAAATCGAACAATCAATTAATCGAGTGATTCCAGTTTCAATCGCACGACTACGCAGAATTTTCTATTAATTAAATCAACTTTCCAGGCGGAAAATGAAGCGTAAAATTATGAAGTGATGGGTAATTCAATGGAAAATGGACAAATGCTAAATGAAAATTTTTTAAATACCACAAAGTCCAAATGTACCATAAAATATCGATTGACCTATTTAATTATTATTTATCGATAATAATTCATTAGTAATAATAATAAAATAATAATAATTGGTCAATAATTAATCATCCCTAAATATAAAATCAATTATCAAATGAAAAAATAAATTTAATCAATTTTACTGTAATTATGATATTATCCATACTTTTAATGATTTTTGTTTTGTTGTTAGATTACAAAAATTTTGAATGTTTATAAAATAATTTTTTTAAATCACCTGTGGGGTCATAGTCCATGCGTGAGTCATCGTGATATCCCGAAGGTCAAATATCACGAATCCCCCTAAAATCTGGGCTCGTGGCTCCAAGGCCCCAAGTTCAAGGATAATGACTGTCGCTTTAAAAATTTCCTCGACGCCATATTTCTTGGGATCCCAATTTCCCATCCTATAAATCATCATCCTGCGTCCACACTCAGTCCGATATCCTGGCACTGTCATGACATCATCATCTCCGATGTGTCGCATCTTCAGGGGATCGACATTCTCGTGAATCTCTGGGTGCGATTCCTTAAAATTGTAGTATCGGACAATCTAGAAAAAAAAATTACACGTAGAAATTTGATAATTAAAATTAAATCATTTAACTGAAATAATTCATTTATTAATTACGGGATTATGAAAATTTTTTAGTTGGTTATTTATTGTGTTTTATTTTTAGCAATTGGCACACGCTCGGAGATTGCGCTAATTGATTATTCATTAATTAGTCAAATAACCATTTTGGAAACATGATAATTGTACAATTATTCCTGATTAAATTGGATATTTGAGACGTACAGGTTTTCTCTTGTCAATGAATTACGGCTTTATTGTTCGTGTTTTTATATTTGATATTTCTATTTTGGTGATAACAATTTTAATAGACTTAGTGGAGGTTTCCTGAACTTTAATCAAGTATGAGAGAGCAATAAATAAAATGAATTCCAAGTGGAGCCTGTGGAAGCATCGGTGATTTATGAGATCGGGGAATATCTTTTCCCTGATTAATTCTCCCGAGGGTTTCATGACACATATTTTAATTCTGTTATCATAAGTACGGGGGAAAATACGGGGTAATAATTCCGAGGCTGGATTTGGCTGAGTGATCAGTTTGCCTTGGCACTCTTACGCAATGCCGCGGATTTTGTCGCGTCAAGTTTATGTTTCCAGTTCGATTCGTTTTATAACCATGGAAAATATTCTGTACTTAATGATATTGAACACTCGACTTAATCCCGAAGAAATGTTGAGTAATATTTAACGAACGATTATTATATTAACAATTTCCTGGAGAAATCCACCCCCAATTTTTCACCGTTCAAATATTCATTACTCATTTTTTCATTATAATAATTACAATAATAATCACATCATTAATAATTTATGGTTATTCAATTGATGAATGAAAAATTGGGTTGGGAAATTTTTGGGGTCATCTTAAAATATTTGGTGTTTTAAAATCAATTTATTTTGGTTATGCAAAATTTTAGTTTTGGGGATAAAAAAATTGATAAAAAAATTTTATCAGATAGGGATTTAGTAATAAATACGTGGGGTAATTTTGTCGAATCATTATGATAATGCGAGAGGAGTTCTGAGAAGTTGATTGATCCAGGTAATGAAGAAATGAATTTTCCCCTGACTGGATTGACTGATTGTCCAAATGACTCATTATCTCAATCTCAGGATTTGATTCCCTGATTGACTTCACAATTAAGACGTGACTTTTCGAGCTGTGACTGACCAATTCCCGGAGAGAAACTCAAGAATAAATTTTTCAGAATTAAATTTATTTTCGTATTAATTTCCTTTATGTTTTACATCAGAATATTGGGATTTCAATTATTCGTCTGAATTCGATAAAAAATTCTACGAATTCCTCCAAATTTTTCCTAGAATTTCGGAATACTCAATGAGTATTCCGACTAATTGAAATGACTCACCAATCGATGAGCCCGATGAATATTGAAATTGCGCGCCCTCAGAAATCTGATGAGAAAGGCGTCGTCCATCCTGTGAGGGCTGCACTCACCCCTCTCTATCAATTAATCAATCAATTAGTCATTCCTAATAATAAATATCCAAGACACAAGCCACTCCCCATGGGCGAGTGCCACTGAAATAGACACTTTGCCACCAAAAATTCAGGATTCGACTTGACAATTCAGTGTGATAATTACCAGTGATAATTACCAGTGATAATTACCAGTGATAATTACCGTAAATCATGTCCCGGAGCTCTTCGAGTGTCTGACACTTGACCTCGTCGGTTTCACCGAGTTCTCGTCTCGCATACTCCATCACCTCCGGGGGTGGTGGTTCCTCCAGGTCCAGGTCGAGTTCCTCCTCGTCGGATTTCTCATCCGTCTTCAAGTCCACTGGATCGTTCAGGGCATCCTCGAATATCTCCGTTTTCGTGGAATTATCCTGCAGCAGCATTGACTCGTACATTCTCTCAATATCACCCGTGTCCTCTATTTTTTTCACTTCTCTCATCGATTTCTCCAGATTAATCGATCTGCATTAAACAAATATATTTGCTAAAACAATTCTTAAAAATTGCACAATTTTCCCAGAAAATCTCGTGACTCATTTAAAAAAAAACTAATTGAAGAAAATAATTACAATGATGATCTGATTAAACCATTTGACATTTTTTTTTTAATTAAATTCATAAATAATTTTGGAATGGGTTGCATAATTGGATTACGAAATTGTTTACTAACCCATCTTTTTTATTGTATAACTGATTAATCTCCAAGTTATCTCCATTCTTTATCGTCAAAATATCCGCATTCATGTCAGACATTCTGTCTCCAGTGAATTTAATCCGTTGGATTTTATCCCCGCGAATTCCTCGGACTTCTCGAAAGATTCAGTTACGTGATTCAATCGAATTCTCATGCACCACTCAACAGTACTTTGTCGTATCCATAGACTGATTGAAAAATATTTCCCCACAACCCAGCAATCGACAAGTATTTAAGTATCAATCCTGTCATGCAATTCTCACCTGCAATTAACGTACAATTTCTTATTACGTTATTTTGTAATTGGTTGAGAATTATTCGCGACGCATTATGTTATTATGATTACGTTCTAATATTTCCTGTCGACGAATCCGACCTTCAGATTGACAGGGAAATAATAAATTTGTTATTCATTTCACGCATCAATCCGCGGAAAATTCGTACTTATAATTAATAATTAAAGATCGGATAATTTTGCAGGAATTTATAAAGTGCAATTCTTCAAATTAATTGATAAAAATATTATACATCATGTAGATCAAATAATGAAGTTTATTCAATTAATATTCTATTATTCAATTGGTGGGTAATTAGTGGTAATTAATTGCGAGGGAATTTGAGGAATGTAGAGTAATCACTCACATTTAGTCCTCATTCCTCTGACAGATTGAAAACCCCTCAATGTCTCGGCGTTCCCTAAAATTAAATAAACAGAGTAAATAGTTAATTTGAATAATTGTAATTTCCCTGCATGATGCAATTGCACGGCACGTAATAAAAATGACCTTTTCAAGCGAAATTATATAATTTTTCATTTTTCTTTCCCGGATAAAAGCCTCTCCCGGGAGATTGCTCGTTTTTCTGTGTCGAAATCATTCGGCTGTTTGCAATTTTCTTACTACAGACTGAGACAAAGACTGACGCAAGTCCGAGGATGAAGGAAGTCGTTGGATAAAACTGAAAATTTACCGGAGAAATTGAAAAATAAATAAATAATTATGAAATCGGAAAAAAATCTGACGAGACTCGGGGACGAGACAATTGAACAACAATTTGCAAATATTTTTAACCTTTCTCTTTTAAACCGGAAAAAATATTATTCAATAGTGCGTCAAGTACCGAAAGAACTCATTACATTAAAAGAAATGTAATGACTTGAATAATTATTATTATTATTATAAAAAATTGAGGAGAATCGATTTGAAAAATAAACTACAATTAATGGATTGTTTAAACAAAATTTTCCATACAATGAGTAATAAATTGGCAAGATCTAGTATGAAGTTATCTTTCTCCTCGTCGGGAATTCGTCATTTCTTTATGACTGACCCATTCCTCCAGAACAAAGAAAATGATAATGAATAGAAAGTTTTTGCGGTAAAAAAAAAGATGACACATTGTCAGGACAGTAATAAACGAAATTCAGTGCGTAATAAATAATATAAAAAATGAAAATCCAAAATTGAAATGACAGAATGAGGAAAACAGAGAAATTTCGATAAAATACGGTGCAATGACCCAAAAACCCACGCGATTGGTCCAGCAATGGGATTTTAACCCCCGCGGGAATAGTGAAATCGTAAATAACGTAGAAAATAGAAAGAACCTCCGGTGATTCCCCAATGAAATCCCGACGAATTGCTTTATATATCCCGCGATTATCTGGAGCATCAGACACGCGAGAACGAGAAAAATAACAGACGATTTTATGTGTAAAATCACTGAAAAATCATTAATAATCATTATGGATGCTTTTGCCGGTTCAGCGCCGCAATGAAAATTCTTTTTCCTCCATTTTATCTGTTTCCACGATTTATTTGAAAATCGACGAGTCATCTTTTACTGCAGCCACTAAACATCGGCCACGTGATGTAAACATCATAAATGTATCAATGACGAGAGCTTTATTGCAATAAAAATGAGGAATTGAAATAAAAAAGGGAAAATAACAGTTTTTTTTTCTTTCAATGTCATCCACTGGCATGATAGACCTTCGATATTTTTATTACATTAACAAGAAGTTAAATTGTTGCTGTGAATTACGATGAGGATTAATTTAGGTACTTGATGGTCAATTTTCATTAATTATTTTTTAACGAATCAATGAGTCGTTGATTAAATTGAATGATGGCTCGAGTCGTAAAAGGCCATTCTCTCTCATTTTCTCTGTTTCCGCCATTAATTTTTAGCCTCAGGCATAATGAGTAATTAACATCACAGACACATGAGCCACGTGACCGGAATACCAGAATAACAATCGAGAAAAAATAATTTTCTGATTAATTATTTAATCTCGAGAAAAATAGCGCGCAATAATTTTGAATAAAAATCTGTCGTCATAACATGTCGAAATCGAGAATAAAATTCTGAGCTCAAGCGTGCAATAATTAAACTAAATTGTTTAATGTTTCGCGGTTAAATGCCGGCGACTAAATAAAATGGAATTCCAAGAATTCGCCGGATAAATTCGCGTTATCTCCTTGGGGAATGCAATCGAGATGAATTCCGATAGCTGGGGCAAATCAATAAACCTGTCAATTGAGAATCTTCAATAATTTTCAAATAATTTAAATTTTTCAACTTTTTTGAGAATTCAAATGAACTGAAAATTATCGCCAACTCTCAGAGTGTGTGAAAATAATTTTTTAATAACAATATTTTTATTGCTCCTCCATTTATTTCACTTCCTAAGACTTGACGATTATTAACGAGAGAAAAAAATTCACTTTCGTCCAGAGAAAATTCTAGATCAGTCACTCGATATCATATAAAAAATATTTTCTCACACTTCAGACCTTCGCATGAAGAAGAACTAAATATGCAATAATATTTACATCGAAGAATGATGATTTTTTGCAGTTAATAAATAACTGGAGAGGCGTAACGATTTTTTAAAGTGCGATAGGAGCAACAAATCGGACAATCCATCGATAATGACCACTAAAATGCCAAATTCTCTTGTAACGATGACAACAAAACCTGATTTTACCTCACAAACTCACAGTGCATGACAACAAAAAGCAAAATGGAATGGAGACCGAGGCAAAATACTTATGCAACTGACTTGAACTGCACACGCGGCTGAACTGCTCGACACCGATCGCAAAAGGCCCTCTTACCCGTCATGGACAACCGCCTAAGCACTGCCCCTCACGTGATTACTCGTTACACAGTTTAATGCACTTTTTCAACAAAATATTTATCACCAAGAAAAAAATCCCCGACAAACCAACAAAACCCGACCGGCCCACCCGAAAAATTTTCGCCCCTCAAAAAAAAATTTCGGTACAAAAAATGATTGAATGATTTAAAATTATTTTTATTACTCTCACATCGATGAAAACAAAAAGAATTTATTAAATAGTTGTTCCGAGATAATTATAAGTTTATTATTATTATTATTGAGGATTAGCTGATTTTTATTGTTATTAAAATTTGGGAGATGTTGGATTTTCGGTGGAAGAAATAATTTTTGAAATTTCAAAATGGCTTCGATGTTTTTTAAATAAAATTTACGATGAATTCGTTTGTTCGGTCATTGATTGATGATTTGTTTATTACTCATTTCCATAAACGTCAGCAGCCGCATCACTCTAAATCAAATAAAATGGAGATAAAAATCGGTAAGGAAAGCCGGAAAAGTAAAATAGAAGAGCCATAAAAAAGATGAAACTATCGTGTAATGTATTCGTTATAGACTGAATCAACGGGATGTCCCATCAAACCTTCTTGAGAACCCATAAAAATTTCAACAATCCACCGATAAATTCCTCCACGCAAAGCGAAAAAGAAATTATTTCTGCCAAGTACGTTTACTCAAGACACGCGATAACTGAATTCTTGTCTCAAGTAAAATCGTTCGACGCCAGTCAATTTGAATTATTTTTTTTTTCTCTTGAAGACAAACAGCCACTTCGGAGTTGTGATACCATTGAACTACTGGACCATTTCTCTCCACTCGTTTCCCACCATTGAATTTTCCATTGTCTTGTCTACTGGGCTATCTCCAAACCTCCCAACCTCCTTCAGAAACAGGTTCTCAAGAAAAAATAACCGCGAGAAACAAATGGAGTGGAAAAAAAAACTAGAGCGTTCAGGGACTAGAATTCACCGCGTCACGCGGTTAGAAATCATTTGAATTTCAACTAACAATTGTATTATCTAATTTTAAAAATTTTAATTCAATTCGTGGTTCAATCATTCATGAAAGTCTCCATTCATCCTGAAAGTTTAAAAATTTAATAATTCATGGGGAACGATCGGTGATATATCAGCACCGACGAGGCAAGAGATAACACTTCGATTTATTTAACAGTTTTTCAGGAATATCTCTGAATCTGAGAGAGATAACTGAATTTGTGATTAAACATTTATTAAAGCTTTTGTTTCACTCTACAAAAAATGTTCCACACAAAATTTCGTTATTTTTATTAGATCCCGAGATATTAACATAAAAATAAGTCGAAGTTATCCCACACCTCTTCGCAGCTGCTTTCTCAACGCATTTAAAAAATCAAACATTAAATTCAATTAACAATAACAACACACAGACTTTTCAGACATAAAATTTTTTTCCTCAACAATTCCTGAAGATCTCGCAAATAATATAATTTTCACTGCAAAAGAAAAATGTCAGTAGAAATTTTTCGCCTCAAAAATTGAATTAATTTCTCATTAATAATTCGTCGAGCATTGAATTTCCCGATGAATTTTCTAAATCGTGCAAAAGGTTGAATTCAGAGGCCGGAGATAGTAGAATTGCGCTCCTTTTACTCCTGTGGTGTAGAGAAAAAAAAAATGGGCGTTCATGGGCGGTAACCGGAGATAAGGATGATCTGAAAAGCTGGTAGTTCTCATCGAGTCTAAAAGTCGTGGCCTTCGCATTTTTTTTTCTTCCTTTTTTTTGTACATGGATGAGGGGCTTGGTCATTGCGAAAGGTGGTCAGGGTCACCCTGTTGCATCTGCACTGGTGCTTTCACTGGAGAACACGTACGCGTTCCCGTAGGGTAGGAAAGACGATTCGGTTCGATGATAAATAAGAGGAATGAGTGTTGCTATGGTGTACCGTAACAACAACACACGTGTCGTGAGGAGAAAATAAAAATGGGGAAATGGAGGAAAAACGACACTATTCTACATGGAATTCCGACGAATCGATAAATTATTCAATGATTGGAGTATTTACCGCGTTATCATGTCGCATTGATAAATTATGCTGTAATTTTATGAACTGTTGGATGAATGGATTTTTTTTCCAGTGGATTATTCCGGGAAAATGGAGAAAATTCAGGGAATGGATCCTCAATATTTAATTCAATAATTACAAGGGATTTTTAATTTTTAATTTTAGGATCAAGTTGGTTCATCAATTATGATCAATTAATTAAAATCGAATAAATTTTCTGAAGGCATTGAAATATTATAAATTGATAAATTAATTAATATTGCAGAGAATTGTTAATTAATTTTCCAAATCCGAATGCAAGGGAATGATAAAAAATTGAATATGCCGGAATTTTAAAATATTTATTATAAGAAAATATTTCTCACGATTGTCATTGATTATTACTTGAATTAATAATTATCGTATCAGGATTTTTAGAATAATATAATATTTTTCCTCGCACGAATCGCCTGATACGTGATGAGTATCGGTTTTCAAATCGGCACATCAACACGTGAAAGAAATTATAGTATTGAGAGATGACCTATCGGTTAGAAACAAGTATTTTACTGAATAGTAAAGCCCTTCCGTGTTCGGGAGTTATGAGAAAGTCGTCCAGAGAATTCCCTGACGATTGCCTCCTTTCTATCATCCAGAGATTTAATACCAATGCGTGTTTTATTCAACTCCGCGTGTCTAATCTCACACGTGTAGGTACACTCCATGAGAATATTTATAATAATTATTGAATAATTGAAACGAGCAATTGTTTTAATAGAAAAATAATCGTTTGAGGATTTTATAAGACATGATCAGTAATTAATAATAATGATTTATCAATTTCGGGGTTATAAACAAAATGTATTCGTCATTAATGTAAAAATTGATAATTAATAACAGTAATTTGTTGTTATTTTGAGATGTAGAAAATAATTCAAACAGAATTTTTGTCGTGAAAATTTTTCTCCGATGCATCGGCGGTTGTGCTATTATTTTTTTGCAGTTGTGAAATCGCCGGTCGATGAAATTGGCGGCAATCGTCCGAAACATCTATTATATTATTATCATAATCGTTGCGGTGAAGTTCAGGACATGATTGGATGTATGTAACTAGAAGGATTCGAAGAATGAGGGAATTGTGGATATTAAATTGGAATTGTGGATCGAAATTTGTGATTTGTCTTTAATTCGGAGTGAAAATCCACTCGATTATAAATTTCTCTGGACTGGGAGTAACAGTCACTCTGACTAATTAAATTTATTTGGGAAAAGTAACAGAGGAAATATCCAGTGTAATTTAAAAAAAATATATGTGTACCTCCAGCAAAAAAATCCGATGTGCGTTCAACACCGAAAAGACGTCACAGACATGCCGATGTCGATAAGAAATCCTGCCACGCAATCCAATACGCAAGAGATACACAGAGACATGATTTATTCATCACGCAATTTTTTCCCTCATTTTTCTTCACTTTATGCACATCATCTAATCCCCCACATGAATTTCTTCCGCTTGTATAAATAAAACGAGTGAAAAACAAAACGAAAAACAAATGGAGGAAAAATATTTGCCACAATATTCGATAAATCTAAATGACAAATCGACGAAATAAGAACACAAGGACTCGGTATGAATTTAAACGAGAGAAATATAAATAGCATATGCTAAATTATTATTGAATGTTGATTAATTCGAGTTGCGATAAGTGGAATGAGTGCGTTAATAATTACCCAATGGGCAGAGAGTCGGTGAGAATTAAATGAGAAATTGATGAGGGGTGGGCGCACTCCTGAGGGATAGATTAAAAAAGTTTTTTCATTTTTCCGACGTTCTCTCGAGACTGAAAAGGAAAAGATCCACCCACGTACTCACATTTTTTTTTTACAGAAGTCTCTGTACCCCCCACCACCCGGAAATTGTGGATTTGGTGTTTTCAGTAGTGACTCGTGGGTGAGAAAACCCCACGGTTTTTATTTAATTCGATATTTCAATCATCTATTCTTTCGATACGAATACACAATCTCGGTCCGAGGTAAACAACTTTTTCCAGACAACAATGTATTGAATTACGGCGTGATTAACGCAATTCACCAGCAGTCGCCTCCAGCATACGTTTTTAATATTCACTGTTCGCAATATCGAGAGTCACTTAATTTTTTCCACTTCACTGAATTTTTTTACTTTTTTTTTTCAATCCTCTCTTCATCCATTTATTTTCTAGCTCCTGTTCGGTGGTTTCTATACCGCAAGCGATGCAAAGAGTGAAGTGAAACAAATTGAGGGTACAAAAACGTATAAAACGCGCTCAATGGAATCATCAGTGATGCACATACGCCTTTTTTATGCTTTATCGATTGGATGGAATAATTTAGACGTATGGAAATTGATTGAGTGCATCACACCAACTGTGGAAGATCGTATGTTCTTATTTTTTCCCCGCAATTCGCTTTTGAATTTTCTCCCAAAATTTCCCGGACATTTTTCCAGTTCTCCCGATTTTTCCGAATTTTCCAATCGACTTAAACTGAAAAATAAAAAATAACAAATGGAAAAAAAAACATGGTAAACGTCGAAAATACGACAAGTAACAAGCATAAAATAATTAATTATTATAAAACAATAATAACAATGAATTAGACAATTTTTCTCACAGATAAAAAAATTTTGTTTAATTCCCAAGTGTTCTCCAATTAGAACAGACCGCGGATTAAAATCCTGTGAAGGTCCACAATAAAGTTTTTCCGCAATAAAAAAAAAATCAATCAATCAATTTGCATCAGAAAAAACGTAATGAACGCGGTTGAGTCAGCGGCGTCTTTTTCCGGGCAACTGTAATGGAAAACATTGATGCAAATGGTAAAACAATGCAAAACATGTGCCCAATGATCACTCAATAAATCGTCAACATCGAAGTGCAAAGACAGAGGTTCAAGGTGTCATGTACCAGGAATAGCCTGATCTCTCTGAATAATTATTCATCATCTGGTTTTGCTAAAAATTTCCCTCCACCCATTCCCCGATCCGCTGATTCGCGATTGACGATACAAAATCGCGAAGAGGTGGTAAAACGAAAAAAAGGAATGAGAGAACACCGAGGGTCAGAGCTCAAAGCCGATGGGAGAGAACCCCCTCTTATTTATAAATCAGAGACATCGCCTCACACTTTGCTATTTCGTTTCCTCCCGTATCGATCCATCGATCCCCTTTCGCGATCCAGTGATCGATCCTCCAGTTCAAACATTCGATCGAGTGTACACGAGTGAAAGTTCCACCGGAGAAATTCTGCGAACGAAGGACTTAAAACAATTACCGTGAGTGTTTATTAATTGTTTATTCATTAATTTTCGATGTCATCTCGTGGTTGTGATAATCAATCCTCCGTTTTTTAATTTTTTGGCGTCAGATCATTGCGAAAAATATCGAGAACTTTTCCGAAAACTTGGGGAAATTATTCACCGATTTTCGAACAGGTTTTATTATTTATTTATAATGATTGATAATTGATAAATGATCGGTAGACTCGTAAGTTCGTGGGGAGTGGTTTTGTTTTTTGGAAGACAATTGTTTAAAAAAGTTATTAGTGAGCGATTTCGGTAATCTAATTGATTTAATTATTCTCAAGTATTTTAATTAGATTTTTATGACAGTGATGGATGTTTTGAAAGCGGTTGAGCAATCGTCAACTTCTTTGGTAATAATCGGTGCATTTGAGGCAATTGGTTTACAAAATAAGTCTTTGAGTTTCACCTGTGTTTCGAGGTCGTCTTAATAATCCCAACACGTCTCTCAATCCTCCGTATCGGTCAAGGTAAAGCGTTTACTTTCCAAATGGCCGTCCACGGGAGAATCCATTATCATTACTCCAGCGATTTAATTAACAAATTGAACAAAACAAAAAAAAATCGTGTGGATTCAATCCAGAGGTTGAATCATAGAATATTTATTTGGAAAAATCAGTGAAATCAATTGAATGAATCGACTGAGATTCACGCGAATCGATTTTTTTTTTGCAGAAATAATTTGTTTCTCAGTAAATCCGAATTTTCATTCGGAACTCGAGAATTTGTGGGAAATTTTGACTGAGAATTGTTCTGGAAATTGTTGAACATCATGTTCTCGGGGCGGGGATACGGGTCGGCTTGCAGGAAGTATTGGTAGATTAGAGTAGATTAATCTGCATAGTTGTGGCAAAAAGTTGGTCGATGTACGTCTTTACGAGAATTCGTGCGAGTGTTGGGATATTATGCAGTCGATTAGAGATGGAGATCGATTCTATTTCTGGAGAATTGTTTTGTCTATTATCGAATAAGTTCACTGTATGGAGGAGGGCACTGGATATCGAGAGATATCCGACGTTGAAGATTGTTAACAATTTTCATGAAAATTGGAAATTCTCCTGCAATATTCAGCAGCGTATATATCTCCAACCAGCAGTGATAAAAAAAAAATATGAATCGCCCCGAAAAGCACTTTTAATTCCCCAGATATCCTTCCATTCCGTTTTTCGATATCATTTTTTTATCGAGAGATATTGAGCATCGAAAATTGTTAAAAAATGCGTTAAAAATCGAAATTGTTTGAAATTGTTTGAAATTGTTTGCAATATGATAAAAAAAAATATAAACAGTTCCGAAAAATCCTCGCAATTTATATTGCTAAAAAAATCCCTTCCCTCAGATAAATTACAGATCTGATGAAGTTCCAAAAACAATTATTGAATAATCGTTGAATATCGTTGAATTTCTGCACTTCACCTGCTGACTTTTTCTACGAATCATAAGATGACTGACTCATTCCCGTCGGCATAATAAACCTCTCATCACCCACAAGCATTTTCACAATTGCAGAATTCCATTCGATAGACGATTACACGTGTACTCCTGACAACGAGACTGAAATTATCGGTCTCGAAGGTGGACGAGACGGTCACTCTCAACACATGTAAAAAATACAGGTGGGGATAAAAAAGACAACAGAGATCTCATTTATCGTGTGCTGACTTCTCTTATGATTTTATGACCTGACCAGAGGCCAAGAAGCGGGGAATGCACGTATAAGTACAAGTTGAAATCCCCGACGTTAGCATTTTTTCTTTGTTACTGTCGTCGACAGCTCTAATTTTCGATTTCAGAGTTCAGGCGTGTACTTGCTATTCAGCATGGATTATATCGTGGAGAGTGAGTACTTTTGAATTTATGATGAAATGGAAATTTATCGGATTTTCGGGGAATTTTCTGGCGCGAGACTTTGGCCGACTCTAGGGAAAATGGGGAATTTTTGGTCTGGATTCAGTTCTGGGAGGAACAGGAATTTCCATTTTTCTTGGAATTTTTATTTTTCTCGGAATTTCCATTTTTCTCGAAATTTCCATTTTTCTCGGAATTTCCATTTTTCTCGGAATTCCCATTTTTCTCGGAATTTCCATTTTTCTCGAAATTTCCATTTATCTCGGAATTTCCATTTTTCTCGGAATTTCCATTTTTCTCGAAATTTCCATTTTTCTCGGAATTTCCATTTTTTTTATTTTCACGGATGAGTTGAAAAAATATTCCTCCAGAATTTTTTCATGATTACTAAAGAATCGGTTGAGAAACTTCCATGAATGATTCAAAGATATCGCTAGGCCGAAGAAAAGAGAATTATTTCGGTCAAGTAAATTTACTTGAGACAAATACCTCGCCCGAATATTTACCCAGGCCAAGTGACAATTATTTACACCCACAAAACAAAATTCTCAATACCTGAATCTCCGCGAGAGCATCCGCTCCCAACATTTGATAAAATAAAAAAATTATAATAAAAATCGAATACACAAAAAAAAGTGATTGCAAATTTTTCTCTGAAAACACGAAATCTTTTTTCGATAAAATCGAACTGATTAATTTTGGAATGAATTCGATGTCTGATCACTGGATATTTCACGGTAAACAAACGCCGAAGGAACGGCTCATTCGTCCAGTAAATAATGTACTGTCAATATAACCGATGAGAGGGGATGAAAAGACCCGGGCCATTTCCAATTGCAATAGCTCGTTCCCATTTCGCATCGGCCGATCGGTTCAATCGACTTCGAATTTCGCGATACAGCGACTCCTCTTCCTTTCATTCCGTTTCCCCCAGGGCCTGTGTGCACCAGTGGAAAAAAGTCACTGTTCGCATCAGTTGTACATTTTACCCGATTCTACTTCTACTTCGTAGAATTCCAAGTAGAATCCGTACTTGAAGACGACATCACGTACGCTTGATTCGTTTTAGCAAGTGCTAAGAGATAAGAATTTTTATCTGTTACATCCAATACGAATTCAGTAGTTTTTTTTAATCCCACGGAGTCATGGGTACTTGTCGCGTTGATTACGCTTCATTAAATCAGAAAGGTAAGCGCAATTGATGGATTTTTAAAATTTTTTTTATTGCACTTGTTGGTGAACGATTCTATTTTTATTAGAATTACTCGAATTACTCGAATTTCTCGATGTTTGTTAAAGTGCGATTGTTTTTCGTTGAGAATTAGTATTATCGGTGAAATTTTTGGTGATTTTTGACGATTTTTGGGCATTCGGAAATTTTTTTTGGGTTTTAAATTGTGAATTACATGCCATTGTTTTTAAATTTGTTGGTGTGAGGGAGAGAAATTAAATATTCATTGCGTCCAAGGATAATTAATTGATTAATAAACCCTGAATCCATGCCCTCGTTTTTTTTTATTATTGCTGCGACCGTATATTTATTGCAAGAAGTCATTTGGGAATTATAAAAAAAAAATAATGAATAAGTTATGGAAAATTTCAATTTTTGAGTGAAATGGTAAAACAAAGAAGAATATCTCCGAATTTAAGGGACATAGCGGGATTTTCGTAATGACCTTTTTTGTAGGGCTGGTTGAGATCCGCAGAAAAGGTAATTACAAAAATTTTTGTATTTTCGGTAATTCCGGAGATATTTCTCGTTTGAATTTTCCATCTTTTCAATTTTGTTGTTAAGCGATTGGGGAAGCATTTTCTATTCGAAAAATCGTTAATAATAATTAATGGTGATAATTTTATGAGTATAAGATTGGGATTCAGTTTCGATCAATTTCCCAGCGATGTGTACAGTCCGTGGATTGGTTCAATGACCCTATTGGATTTTCTTTAATCTGAAAAATGTAAACACCCGAATTTAAATCTCAATTATTATTTCCCCGGATATATTCCAAGGTTCTTGTCATTCTCTGATAATTCCGATTCGTTAGAAAGTCTCAGAACATTGAGCAATACTTTGGAACCGAAAATCATTGAACGAGAGGTCATACCCTCAGGCCTCTCAATTCTCGCGTGTTTCTTGCACTTTGCAATTACGAAAAATCGACCTTCGCGGGTAATTAACATGCGATTCGCATTAATCTACCCACGAAAAAACATTTCTCACGCCAAAAAAAAAACTTCCGTTACTCCACCCAAAAAAAAAATTCCAACAAATTAAAAAAACGAGAAGTTTTTATAAATTTTGATTTTTCTAGCAATCGCATCTGAATTTTTCATCCGAACTCATGAATTTCGCAGACTTGGAGTTGAAATTCCACTGGAAATATTCTGTATTTATTTTTCTTCAGAATAAAAAACTCATACATCGCAACAATTGTCGAAGGAAGTGTAAAAAAAATTCCAAGGCCGCGGTGGTCGATTATTTATCTCCCGGGAGTCCTTGCACCTTGCACCTTGGAAATTTATTAAAAAAATACCCCAGCAGGAATTTTTTGTTTACCGGAAAATCTGAGTGAAAATTACATAATACAATTGTTACTGATATTGAAATAAATAATCACCTCGGATTAAACAATTATGAATTTTTCTCGTGTAGAATTCGTATCCCGCGAAAATCCTCTTCAGTCTCATTAAAATAACTATTCACGTCATTCCCCCTGGGAATGACGTTTCTCATGTTTTTTTTTCTCAGTACTTTCTATCGTCTGGACTTTGATTCGTCGTAAACTCGAATGAATCATTCCGACAAATGATAACACATTGTCCGAGATTATTCGCGAATACATTGAAATGCGAAACTATCCAAAGGGTTTCGTATTACACAGCCATTTCCGCATTCAGCAGCATTAAATGACCCCGAGATAAATACCCAACAAAAATTCCACTCTCTACCACAAATTTATTATAAATTTTTCAAATATTCCACAGCGAACATAAAAATTTCGAAGTAAAAGAAAATGTTTTTGAGGAATAACGCCGCACCCAATAGAAATATCGAAATTAGTCTCAAGATCTTTTTTGCGGAATGAAAAAAGAGCTGCAAAAAAGATCGATATGAAAATTTCGATATTTCTCTCGGATTCGGAGATATCTTCCAAAACGCGGGAAGAAAAAAATCGGATTATTGTAATTGAAATCGCCAGTGATTATTTGAAGGCTAAAAAATATGATTGAATCAACCGACGAGTTTGAGATTGGCAAAAAACTTGTATGATTCAAGTTCTCAGTGAATCACCTTGTCAACCTCCAAACCACTCCCGATGATCAATAAAAAACCATTTAAATCTAAAAAATTAGCAGCGAACGACCCATTAAAACCGTCTGCACCTTGAAACCGTCGGAAGGTCATAAAACCCGTCTAATCCGATGTTTTATTCATCCGAAAAACCCGAGAAATCATCAGCGATCGAATGCAGTCTTGCATCCACCCTAAAAAATCTTTAATTCGCAAAATTCTCCTGAAAATTCCCAAAATTTCCATCGACTTCGCCTTCCATTAAAAATTTCCTCAAATTTCAAATCCAATTCAATCTCAATTTTCCCACTCTAAAAAACTCAACAATTTATTTGAATAATTTTTTTTTTAATGATTGTTTCAGTTTCAATTTTCAGATCGTCCTGAATTTTATAATGATCTGCATTATATCGATTATTAATTATTGAAAGAACGCGATATATAATTTGTCATTCAAGCTTGAGATGGAAATATCGTTGAATTATTCATGACAGGACAGAATGCCAGCGAAAAATGTGTCTGTTATTTTTTTTTTAAAAGAAAAAAGACGCGTTGAAACTGCCAATGACATAAAAAAAAAACCACCGAATGTGGCAACATCGTTTCGCAAAACTCGATGATATATTCCATTCGGTGATCGGTCACAAATGCAGCCAACAATATCGCAGATTCCGCAGATCCTCGAAATGTTTGTGCAAATCCAGTTATTACCGCTGATGATCAGTAATTCATGTGCAATCCTTTGATATTCCATGACACAGATACGTTGACAGTTCGCCAGACTGATGCCATCAATCCCTCTTCATCCTCCTCTTCATCCTCCTCTTCATCCTCACATCCACTTTATTACGTAAACATGAAGGACAGCCAAAATACTCCATTACATTCGTAATTACTCACTTACGATATTTCATACGTCGGTAATTTTTCCCTTGTCTTTATCATCCTGTAATCCACATCACCGGTTGTTTTCAAACGTCTCCAAAACAAGTAACTCGGAATTACAAGTGTAATTGCACCTGTTTCAGACTTCAGCCTTGATCCCTTAACATTCATTATTTTCATTTTAGATTTTACTCATTTCAGTCACGTATATTCGGTAAATTCCACCTGAAAACGTCAATTGCACCTCCAAAAAATGCAGATTAAATGTTTTTTAATATCCAAAGCGCCAATTTACAAATCATCAACTGACCGTTATTTTTTCAGCTACCCCTGTTTATTGTTGTTTATTATTTTTCTATGAATAAAAATTCGGAATTACTGAGCGAATCCATGTAAATCGATAATGAATCGATTATCCCATCCGCTCAATGAAGAATAAATGATAAATTCACCTTGTAGAGATGCTAAGAACTAATGACTCCATCCTCTAATTATATCTGCATCGATTACCCTTGTTATGATTGCGAATGGCGAGTTGGATGAAAAAAAAAAAAATAGAGCTGAGTTCGATAATTTTTTATCTCGCCAGCAAGAGTTAAAATGCTCGTCGTGACTGAAGTGGAAACATTCAGTCATCAGCCAGACGCAGTTTACATGCCAAGATGGATAGTGCACTTTACATAAAAGGTTGAGCATACATTCTCGTTACAAAACAATTGCTACTGTTTTCGTAATTGTTTTAAATAATGTGAGGACAAGCAACGAATAATCAATCGGGAAATAGTGACGCAATGGCGAGTTTTTCCGAGTGTTTTAGCATTAGCCTTGGCTCTCCCACTGTCACCATTTTTTTTTCAGATTAATTAATTAATTTGTTCGTTTCGGATAACAATTCGTAATCAAGCCCTTGAAATTCCACTCCACCATCAGTAATTTCGGGTTTTGTAATTAAAAAAACTGCGATTTGTGAAAAATAAGTAGAAAAATAATCTTCCAAATATTTATAACTGAAATAGAAAATAGAAAAATCCAGTAATTATTTATAATAATAGTTCTGGGTGAATTTAAATATAAATACGTTTTAAATATAATAAAATTCGATATAATTTTATTTCCGTCTGGTAAACATTTTGTACTCTCCCGCCATTTTTTTGCTGGGACATCCGCCGAGTCCACATCAATTAAAATGCGAGTGAGTTGCCAAGAAACATCAGCTGTCAACCACGTAGGCCAATGCGTCAATCGCATGTAATAATTGCGATGTGAGTCAACTTATTATTATTCGCGGTACCAATGACTTCCGCTCGGACGTAGAATATTCGGGAAAGTGTATTCGCGAATTTTGCGAGTTTCATCGACAATTGTTTATTGCAGAGACGATGCTGACGGACATGGATCAATTGCCGTCCATTCAGCTGGGGGATTTTGTTCTTCAGTTTGAACTTGGCCCGCCCAGTACAGAAGTCCAGGCAGTCGCCAGGAAAGAACTCAGGGAGACACCTGAGCTGCAAAAACAGGCTGTCGCTGAACTTCGGGAATTACTCAAAAGTTTGTAATTAGTTCGCCAGTCAATAACTAGTCCATAAATTTTTTTTTTCTAGTACTGTCACAGTAAATTCATAAAAAAATCTTCATCACCGCGTGAAAATGAAAAAATACCTATTTATATTCCAGAGGAAAGTGACCTCAAATGCCCGCTCGACAACGAATCCTGGTTGATCCGTTTCCTCCGGCCATGCAAGTACTACCCAGATTCAGCAGCTAAATTGGTAAAAGAGTATTACGCCTTCAAAGTGAAGCACTCGAATGTTTATGACGGCCTCAAGCCATCGAGGGAGAGAAACATCTTCGAGCACAACATCCTCACTGTTCTACCAAATCGAGATCAACACGGACGTCGTATATTGATCATTGAGCTTGGAAAGAAGTGGAAGCATAATAAGGTGTCATTGGATGAGGTGTTCAAAGGTGCTGTTTTGTACCTCGAGGCTGCTATGCTTGAGCCAATATCCCAGATTGCTGGTGCTGTTGTTATATTTGATATGGATGGACTGAGTTTACAGCAGACTTGGCAATTCACTCCACCTTTTGCTAAGAGAATTGTCGATTGGCTACAAGATGCTGTACCACTCAGAATAAAAAATATTCATATTGTCAATCAGCCTTACGTCTTCAATATGGTATTCGCTCTGTTCAAGCCCTTCCTCAGGGCGAAATTGAAGGAACGAGTGAGTCCTAATTATTCTCCACATATTTTTTTAAATGTTTATAAATGTCGTCGTCATATCCTTGAGGTACGTTGAATTTTTTAAACCAATCCTTTTTTTTTAAGATTATTTTCCATGGGACTGATCGTAAATCGCTGCATCAGCACATGTCTCCGAAGTGCTTGCCAGAGTGCTATGGTGGGACTGTATCAATTCCCAGAGTCACTGGGGCTCAATGGCTTGAATTGTTGATCATGTGTGATAAGGAGTACGATGGTGAGAGTTAATTGCATGAGTCATAATTTCTCGGTGAGATTTGCGGGGGATTAAAATAACGAGCTCCAGTTCCGAGAAAATTCACGAGATTATTTTTCATTTAATTCACTGCAAGAAAAATGTCCTCTTCCTGTTACACAGATCTTTTTCATTATGATAATCTTATCTCCCTGCGAAATAAACCAAAGAATAATTGTACATTCTCTCTGAAGATCTTTACCTTTTTTATTGCCAGGAATTTAAAATTTAATAAAAAAGGTATTGCCACATATTTAATTATCTTCTTATTGAATAATTATTATCGAAATCTCAGTACGCGATCTCTTCGAATTTCCCTATGAATTGTATGTCGAAATTAATGCTTGAAAATTTTTATGATTTCAGCGATCAACTCCTATGGCTACAAGAAAAAATAATGCGTTTATAGAATTTAAAAAAAAAACACTCGACGTCGAGCGATTGACGTTGTTATAATTAAAATTGAAGTGAGAGGAACAGGCCACTGTGTGGAGAACCTACCGCTCGACGAAAATCAATTGTTAATAACTATAAATTAATTCCGGGTCGAATCAATAGGCCCTCAACCCCTTCCGTGTATTTAATAATGAAACGGATTGCTCATTTTATAGAATTAATGAATAAAATAATTCCTGAATCTTTTCATTGACTTCAAGGGTTTTTCCCGGAAGTCACAAAAATTGTGATTACTAATGATTTTTACACTGAATTTAAGAAAATTGCCTCCATTTTGAAAATAATCTGTCGTTGATTCGAGGATTTTTTTGTTGTTAAATTAATAATATTTTTATTTTTTCAAGACAATTTTATGAAGGGAAAAAACAGCACAAGAATTTTTTGAGATAATTTTTTTCCCCTTCCCCAAAAAATGTTGTCTTTTTTTTTGTCGTCTGTTTTTATTTTTTTTAATGAAATTTAGGTGGCTAATTATATAATTTCATGATTAGTGTGGCTGAATTATTAAAAGAGATGAGTAATTGCTTGAGGGCGAGTCGATAGAGTGCGAATTGGCGAGAGAGAATGATTTTACGTTTTAGAACAAAATTATTAATAATATCATTAATTATTGATTATGGCACACGTGCACTTATTTCCAATTATATATTGTTTAACAGAAATGTTTATTCATTTATTCGCGAGAGGACATTTGCCTGAACCATTAGATCAAGTGATAAAGGGGCAGATGAGTTCAGACGTGATTTTTTTTTCTCTGCAGAAATAATAAAGACACAATTTTATTAAAAATTCCTTTTCTTCATTTAAAATAATACAATCATTCCCTGCATCCGATCATTAACACCTATTTATATCTCTAGTAATAGAATCTCAAACAAAACAATGAGAGATTATATCTGAATAATTACGAATCGATGGATTCAATGACCTGCGAGAGAAAATCTCCAGGCAAAACTGGTTGTTCCAGTTTTATTCGGATGAATACATAATTTACGATTGAGGTTGAACTGGAAATAATAAAAATGGAGATTCCAGTGGAAATAAATGAGTGCCCTTGGCCGAATTCACACCTGGTGGAATTTTTTTCAATAAAAATGTGACTTCAATTGAAATTTTAAGATCAACAATTGTTTCATTACTGATAATTCAGCCCAGCCACGTGATCCATGATCTCCAACATCTCCAATTATTCTATTTCTTCTTGGGATAGCCCAGACGATTTTCCTCTGTGAAAATAAAATACAAGACCACTTCAGATTAATGACAGTCTTATTAACTTGAGTGGTGCACGACTTTTTTTTATTTTACCGGACGATAAAAGATGGGAATTGCACATTTCAGAGGAGAAATAATGAGAAGGTTCTGCTTGTTGCAAAATCCTAGGCCAGAAAATATTGTGGACAATAAAAATTACTGTGGGATTCAAATCATTTAAAGAAATTAATTTATGAGCTTGTGATTCTCTTGGGACCCGTAAAATTCCTGAATGAATTGATGAATCAATTTCCAACTAATTGATATTTTAAATTTACCTGTGAACTCCTCCTCCCAGAGGCACAGATATTTGTACAGAGGTTCCCCGATAGGATCTGCTGGTATATCTAAATCTCCACCATATCTACGAGGCAGTGCTTTTGCCTCTATATGTGATAAAAGGGCAGGCCTGTTAGTCCCATGGAAATGCACTCGCTTCCGTAATTTTTCCTGCGAGTGAATATTTTTCCATAAAAAATTACCCATTGCATTCCATAAAAAAACCAAAAATATCCGATAAAAAACGGATCTAATTTAACCTCGTGTCTTCCAAATGAATAAATTAATTACTAACAATCATTATTAATTATTCACTCTTTAATAATGAATAAAAAATTTCTTGGACTCGGATTTTTCTAGTCCACGAAATCAAAATTGAAAAGTTCTTTTATTTTTATTTGTTTTTTTAATTAAGGAATTAAGGATAAGGATTAGCTCCTAATTTTTATTTATTTTTTTTTGTGGGAATGGAAAAGTTTAAATAATGACTCACGTGCAAAAATGGTTTAAATATGGCGAAGACCATGTTGAAAATAAAAGGCTGATTTATAATATGGACGCCCTTGAGGCGAACAGGCAAGCATTTCTGGACCCATTCAAGTACAGCACTTGCAAAACTCGGGGTGAAGTACGTCACGTGATTCAGGGACAAACCATCCATGTCAAGAATTACCTGAACCCCGCAGACCTATAAAAAATATCATCTCTATCAATGACATCCATCCACTGTATTTTTCACAGTGAAAAAAAAATCAATGACGAGAATGCAATTACAAATGATAATGAGAGGATTTTCCGGATTGATTACTTATTGAATTTTTTTTTCTCGCTACTCGACGGAGCGGAGAAAAAACAGGACAAGAATTATTCCAGATTATTAATTATCATTTCGTATTTGTTTATAATTATTATTCAGTAATTAGAATAGTGTTGGAGGAGAAATTCAATAGGTGAGGGAAGGACGCAATTAGGGGATTCATTTTGGGAGTTTATTGATTGGTAATCGATGATTTTTTTTATTTTTCAATTGATATTTCATTTTACCTGAGTCTTTGGCTCGTTCAGGGCAGCTGCCAGGAACATCATGACACCCCGGAATATTTGCTCGAGTGCAATTTCCTTCGGTTTCCACCGTTTTCCACTTTCAATTAGAATTACTCGGCAGCCATCTGCACGCACTGGTAATGGAGTCACTACACCAGATTCAAATATAGCTCGATCGTTCTTCGGGATCAATTCATTGCAGATGCGAGGATGAGTGACTTGGTACCGATAAAAACGCTTCATCTGTTTCGAATTTCGGGGAATTTTTATTGATTTGTCTGTCAAGTGCACGAGGAAAGATTAATCTAGTGGAAATAAATTAATTGACTATTTCTCCTGAACTTTTCCCTTTGCCATCACCGTAGGTGGAATTTTCCAAATTATTTTTGATGAAAAACATTACAGCATTCGGAGAAAATTATAAAATTTGCATTAACATTATTTGATTAATTATTTTAATGGGAGCGTTAAAAATAGTCTAGATATATTATCAGAGAATATCTCACAAGTTCGAAAGCTGGTTTGGCATGCCATTTTACAGGTCTCAAGTACTTGCAAAAAAAGTGATCGTCATCAGGTACGTTGAGATCAGGTTCACCTGAAATCACCAATTCCATTGTCTTTATTCATCGGGAATAACTGGAGTCCTTGACCTTAACTGAAAGAATACTCGTTAATCATTAAGCCATTCGATATTCCGTTTATCGATGTAATTATCATTTTTTTTTTGGCCGATTTGTAAACGATATTCGGGATCCTTCGGTAATTTATGGAATGATTAAAAATTCAAGGGCACTCCCTGTTTTAAATCTCCACTCCATTTGAAAGATCATGACCTCGAGACTCAAAGTCAAAGACTTGACCTTTTTTAATGACATCAACATTTCGTAATTTCTATTACGAAAATTCCACAAATTACGAGTCAAAAAAGAGAGAGCTGAATAAATTTTCATCAATTCCTGAGGCATTACTTGAGATATTTTTAATCTAAATTTAATAAAAAACGAAGA